CAAAGGGCTGTGGGGTCCCTGGGAGCAGGAGGCCAGCGAGCATGAATGATGTTCGACAGGTGCACCTGGGCAATGTGGGCACTGGCTGTGAAGACCTGGGTCCTCTGCCAGGATGAACTTGCAAGTGGGCATCATTCAATGCATTAGCACCTCACTGTGCACTTGGGCATGCTATGGCTGGGAAGGAGCAGGTTGAGCAGGAGCAAGTCTGGCTGACAGAACACACAGACATTTGGTTCGGGAAGGCAGCTGAGGGTTCAGCGGGGAGGGTGACCCAGTTTCCACAACTCTGCAGGAGAGACACAATGGGGTTAGAGTCCTGGGCCCCACCATTTCCAGCCAAGCTCCTGCTCACCTGGGTCAGAAGTCCTGCTTTGAGTGACCTCCCCACTGGCTGCAGGAGGAGACCTGCTTCTCTCTGACTCAGCAGCTGGTGGTGGCCTCAGGAGGAGCCCAGAAACATGGCCAGGTTTCCTCAGCCACCTGGAAGCTCCCACACACCTGTGGTTTCCCACATCTCTTGACATGGACCCAGGAAGCTGCCTGCATCCTTGACTGCTATACAACCTCTTTTTGTTGTTTTTTAAGACTTATTTATTTTTATTGGAAAGGCAGATATACAGAGATGGAAAGACAGAGAAAGATCTTCCATCTGTTGGTTCACTCCCCAAATGGCTGCAATGGCCAAAGCTGAGCCGATCTGAAGCCAGGAGCCAGGTGTTTCTTAGTCTTTCGCATGCATGCAGGGTTCCAAGGCTTTGGGCCAACTTCTACTGCTTTTCTAGGTCATAAGCACGAAGTTGGATGGGAAGTGGAGCTGCTAGGATACAAATGGGTGTTCACATGGGATGTCAGTGTTTGCAAGGCGAGGATTTGGCCACTAGGCTATCCTGCCAGGCCCAATCTCTAGTTCAACAAGTATTGCTGGAGTATCTGGCAGGTGGCAGGCCGTGGGCTTTACAGGTTTGCATATTGCAGTTGACATGCTGGGAACTGCAAGAGGTCCCTGGCGTGTGCTGCAGAAGGCCCAAAATAATTTTAGCCCTTACTTACTCTAAAGCCATGAGCATTCTCTTTGTTTCTACGAAGATGTGTTAGATGCTGTTGTAAGCCAAACTGTGCCACCCTAAGAGGCGGGTTGCTGGCCTGTGCCCTGGCCTCTGTCAAGTGTGACCTTTTTTGAAAGTAGGAACTTTGTAGATGAAATCAAAGAAAGATGAGTTCTTATCAGAGAAATGTGGGTCCCAGGTGAATAGAAAGTGTCAGGTGGAAGCACAGGGAGTAAGCCAGGTGGGGGCAGAACAGAGGCTGGAGTGGCAGCTTCAAGCCAAGGATTAACAACTACCCCCAGGAGCTAGGAAGTGACAAGCCTGGCTCCCATGTCCAGCCTCCTGAACTGAGATGCAATACTTTCTCCAACTCCAAGCCACCCTGTGTGTGACTTCTTTAGGAAGTTACTGTGTATACTTGCTATGTGCAGGGTGCTGTGTTAGGTGTGAGGAAGGCAAGGCACAGAGGGCAAAGCAAGCAGCCCCTTCCCCACTTCATGCAGCCATTCAGTTACACATTTCATAGGGGCTGGGGGATTTAGTCCTGAAGCACTCTCCCTCAAGGGGTTTGCATTCTAGTGAGGGGTGACAAACAAGAGCGGAATGATCAATAACATCATGACTGGTACAGTAGCACCCCTTTATCTCTGGGGTGTCTGATTCTGCAGATAGCACCAAGCCCTGCATAGGCACTGCTTCCACCTGTGACGCACTTTCACACATCTCGGCTTCTTGGCAGATCCAGATGACTAGAGTCGCTCTTGCACTGTGTTTAAGCCAGTGAAGTGGTTCTCAACCCTGCCACCCCTTGTGATCACCAAGGAGGCTTAAAATAAAACAGAACAAGAACACCCAATAGCACAGTTTCACCCCACTCTGTGGCTGGGGCTTGGCACCTTGCCATGGCGTATTTCCCAAGGGATTGCGATGGGCACCTGCTCCAGTGTAGCAGGAGTTGCAGTGAGGAACATGCCCTGAAGGACAGCAAAGTTGTTTGTGGAGGGTGACTGTGGTCATAGCCTGAGCATCTCAGGACATGGTAGGCAGAGGCTTGTCCTGCCCAGGTGGCCAAGTAGCCAGGTGAGCCTAGGCAGGTGTGGGATGGTCAAGGCTCTGGTGGCCTCTGGCTCATCACACCTCTGTTCCTTCACCTCTTTGGCTTTTACTACGCAATGTCAGATCTAGGGTGGACCAGCCACTGGGCATAGTATCCCCCCCGTCTCTGCCTTTGAAATGCTGATATTGGCCAAGAAGACACTCACTGTGTGTGGGACTTGACTCATGTGCAGTTGATCTGGACCCCAGCTCTCTTGGTTTTGATTTCCTGGGAGGTGGAGAATGGCTCTGCGACAGGGGATTTAACACAGACCAGAGATACCTCTTCCTCCCTGGGGACAAGCGATGCAGAGGGCGGGCCAGGATGGGGATCTGCCCGCTGTAGTGCCCTTACTTGCTGTATACCCACACACAAACAGTCTTCCAGGCCAGCCATTGGTGCTTAGGGAGAACTTGCACTCCCTCCATCTTCTGACCCCAGTTCATCGTAGCAGCCCACCCTGGAGCCACTCTCTGTTGCTCCCAGACCTAGCAGGCATTATGCCTTCTCCTCCTCTTCCGCTCACTTCCCTCATCTCTTGTTCCTGCCTTCCCTGTTTCTCCCACTCCTTATGTCCTTCCTCCTGCAGCTGCCTTTGCTGGTCTGGATTGGGATAAGATTGGCTGGAGGAGGAAAAGAAGGAGGCTGGGAAACTGCTCTCGATTCAGGGCCCAGGAATCTCCCCCACAACTCCGTGACTTTGGGGTACATTCCCTGGTGCCCCATCCTGTTTCCCCACCTCTCCATGTGGCTGGCCAACAGCTGCTAACAGTATCCCTTTTCACTTGAGTCTCATACCTGCCCAAGACCACACAGCAGCCCAGCACACTCCACCTACAGCCGCCCACATGTACGCCTCCATTTGCCTTTGCTGTATCCACAGTTGATGCCAGGGCATTGAATGAAGCCCCATTTCTCTGAGGATGACTGTGGACCAACAGACAGCATCCTAAAGAGGAAACCTCTGGAGTGTGGGGCCCAGGTCTTTAAGCCACTGGTGACTCAACTTTGCTTCCTCTCAATTTCTTTGCCACCCCACCACAACCCACCCATCAAAGAAGTTTGCTGACCTCTTGGGTGGTTGAGATGCATCGAGTTAATCTACACAAAGAACCCAAGTCTGACTGTTTATTCAGAGATGACAAGGCCATCAGAAGGGTAGATGGTAACCATTAAAACGGTAGTCGCTCATGCTTCCCTTGCAGAGGCCCCCGAGAGTGGTATCAGGGTGTGTCAGGAGACGGACAGAGCATGGTTGCAGTTCCCTTGGGGAGGGAGATTTGTGACTGGCAGAGGGAAGTACTTGTTCATCCAGCTCTAGGGTGTGGGAGCCGCCCCAAGCCACCCAGGGCTGGCAGTAGGCTGTGGACCTGTTTACAAGGACAAGACATACTCCAAAGGCAAGCGGCTGTTGCCTTACCTCTGGGAGTTGGCTTGCCTTTAGAAGAGCAGCTTTCCTGTTCAAGGGAAGCCTCAGATATTAACATGTCAGGATTCAAAAGGGTGCCTGGTGGATGAGGTGTAGTGTTCCAGTAAGACGAGGGGATAGATGAGAAGTAACCGGGGTGATGGATGTGCTGAGTTTCATTCAGTCATTCCGCACTGCATACATATATCATAACACCCCATAAATATAAATGCATGCAATCGTAGTTTGTCAAGATTCAATAAAAATAGAAAGACATGTTTCACATACCTGCACACTCTTCTGAAATAGAGTGACAAAATGTGTTTAGTTCTACATTCTTCATTTTAAAAATGAGCCTGTTGGTCCTGGATCCCCGGGAGTTTTCCAGGGCTGGAGTTGGAGGGAGATGCCATGGAAATGGCCCAGACCCTAGCAGAAAATAATAGTTCTGGTCTGTTCTGTCTCAGCCTCATTGAGGCTCAGCACTCTTCTCCATCAACCCCCCTAACCCCCAGCATGAAGGCTGTGCCCGAGACTCTACAAGGTCTCAAGGTAGACAGGTGACAGGGCAGCAGGCGGCTTGGGGCCAGGCCTCCAGGAACTTCTCAGTACAGAGTGTCACTTTTAAAAGGAAGCATTTAGTGGCCCTGACACGTTCTGGCCCTGGGGCTTGGTCTGCAGTTGTCTCTTAAAGGAAGACATTTCCAACCCTGAGTTACAGGAGTGGATGCAGGCTGCATAGCCAGCAGGTGCATTTGAAAGTGGAGGATGAGAGAGCTGGTGGAGGACAGCTTAGGGATCTGCTTAAGGTTGCATTCCCAGGGGAGGGAGGCCATGGAAGGCTGGGAACACTCTTTGGAACAGGCCTAGCTAGCCAGAGAGGCTGTTCAGGGACCACATGGAACAGAGCGGAGAATTGGGGAGGATCAAGGTAACTCAGAAGTGGGGTACCTGTCACCCCCAGGCCACCCTCGGGCCTCACATTCCTTTATCCTGTTTCCCTCTTGGCCAGCAGTGAGAGTGCAGTCAGAGCACAGGGAGAGAGAGAGAGGGTCCCTTCCCCAGAAGTCACTCTGGAGCTCCAGGACTCTTGCTGTCCAAAGAGTTCTGGGCTGGGCCCTGGCTACAACCTCCACTTGCTACCTTTCCTCCCTCCTGGGGCATGACTTAGTCTGCTGTAAGGAATGCCACTTGACTTAGAAGCAGCAGAAATACATTGCTGACTGTGAGAGGCTGGGCATGCAAAGTCAGATGCCAGCGTGGCCAGGTTCTGGTGAAGGTCCTCTTCTGGGTCACAGAGAGAGGGCATGTGTCCTTCTCTTAGGAGCCCGATGACCCACTCACCCCCGGATGTCCACTCCCGCCTGCTGATGCTTGGGCATTGTGATAGACCGTTTGCATGCAGGGCTCATGGACACTCAGTGTCCCCTCTACCCTGTCTCCCCAGCATTCTGTTTGCTGACATCGAGGGCTTCACCAGCCTGGCATCCCAGTGCACTGCCCAGGAGCTGGTCATGACCCTCAATGAGCTCTTTGCTCGCTTCGACAAGCTGGCTGCGGTGAGTTGCCCTGAGCCTGGGCTGGGGGTGGGAGGGGAGAGGCCTGCTGTGAGGAGGTTGGGGAGGGGACCTGCCAGGACCTGCCCTGCCGGGCGGGGCCCACTGTTGGGAACTGGAGGTGGGCAGAGGGGGCTGGTGCTGGAGGAGCTTTCAGCAGCTCCATGCCCTCACAACCCTGTGCCTGGAGGATGCCATGGGGCCACTGTCCTCATGGGGTTGGCCATTGATCAGAGCATGAGAGATTGCCCACATGGTCTACAGGTAGCTGTGTGTTGCCCCACTTTCCCAAGAAGCTTCCAGAAAGAGTATGCTTCACTATACGTACTGGTTGGCAGAAGGAGCTTACAGAAGGAACTGGTGAAGCAGGGAATGGTGGGTGGCACTCCTTCATTGGATCCCCGTTCACAGCTCTGTCATCCCTTGCCATCACTGTGCCAGTGATGCTCTGGATGTAGAGATATTTTATACCCTGCTTCGGGCGTGGTGCGGTTGCAGCCTAGCGACCTGTGGTATGTGGAGAGTACCGTTAAGTCCAAAGGGCATCGAATCCACCTGCCCAGCAGCACAGCGCACCTGCAGGACACCCGTTGTGCTGGTGGTGCTGACTGAAGGCTGTGACCGCTGCCCTGCCCAATGTCTGGAGAGGAACAGGCAGCACAGAGCCAGCCCAGGAAATGTCCAGGATTCACCACCTGTGAGTGTCACTCTCGCACCCTTGCAATGTAGAAAGATCACACTGTTCATGTGTCTGAGGACACATTTTCCTTTGCATACGGGACACCAGATCACGTTGTTGATGAGATTCAAGGATCTGTCCAGGGCTTCCGGGGGCTCCGAAGAGAGTCCTTCATGCCTGCTGATGTCCACGGAACCCAGTGAACAGGGGCAGACTTGGGGTGTGAGTAACAACCAGGCCTCAGGTTAAGTCAAGGCCACCTGAGCGCCTAACTCCTAACAGAGCTTGATGAAGGCTATGTTAGGAGCCAGCTTTGGGCAGCTGATCCTTGGTAATGAACGGCATTGCAATTTGAATCCTGTGACCAGTGAACGGTGGCCTGCTTCATCTGTCACACAACAGCTCTGTGGGCAGGTACCCTAGCACTTTCTTGGCATGTGCCTGCTGATTTAGCCAAAACTGTTTTGGTTAAAAAAAAAGTCTCAGAGTGGCTGACACTCAAGTGAGCCACTGGCTAAGGTTCCTTTCTGCTTGCCTCAGTCTTTCTGTAAAAGAAGAATCAGAAAATTGTGGCTGGAATCTTCAGCCAGGGTGTGTTTCACTCCTGGTGTCTGGAGTGGAGCCTTCCCCCGGCTGGCCAGGCTGCCCTCCCTGCTGAGCCACCGAGGGTCTCTGCAGTGGGGTCTCTGGAGCTCTGAGAAAGGGGAAGTGCCTGCACCTGCCCAGTGTCCCCAGCAGCCCCAGGGACCACACGGAGGTTCAGCCCGCAGCCTGGGCTTGCTGCCCTAAAAGGCAAGTTATGCCAGGCACGGGCTGGATCTGTGTAGCTCCCACGACTTGCCCTCCTCCTTCTCCTTACCACTCTTTGTAATCTGAAATTAATTTACGTTCCAGGAGAATCACTGTTTACGCATTAAGATCCTGGGGGATTGCTACTACTGCGTCTCGGGGCTGCCCGAAGCCAGAGCCGACCACGCCCACTGCTGTGTGGAGATGGGCTTGGACATGATCGAGGCCATCTCGTGAGTGCCCTTCCTCCAGAGGGACCACCCCCAAGCCCTAGGAATGACTGGCCAGCTAGCCACCTGCCAGGGAAACAGTGGGGCCAGTCGTCTCTCCAGTGCCCTCTCCCTGGCCAAGCAGTGGGTTGGTTGGCACTTCCAGGCTTGCCTCCAGCAGGTTCCTTTTTCCCAACAGCAGCCTGAGCAGCTGTTCCCAGGGGAGAGGTGGGGAGAGCCCCTGGTGGTGTGGGTTGACCCCTTCAGGAGAGGAAGAGACACTGACAGTGGTGGCTGTACCCTGTACCTCCTTCCTGCCAGATGCACCACAGTAGTTCCCACATCTTCTAGGATGGGGAAGTTGGCCTCCCAGGCACTAAGCAGTCCCCCAGGGTAGTATTGCCAGGCAGGTGGATTCACACACCATAGAAGAAAGACTGCTTGGCCAGTTCTTGGTCATCACTGACCGTGGAAGGAGGCCCGGTCGTTAACAGTCCGAGTGTACACATCAGCCCAGGGAGCAGGTCAACTTGGACTTCAGATACAGCTTAGACAGGGGCTGAGGGATAGAGAGGCCTCAGAGGTCAGAGTGGCTGGCCAGGTTTGACTCCATTCCAACTGGGCAGCATTTGACAAGTGTCCCTACATTCCTGCGCTATAGTCGGTCATCTGTTGCCCAGAAATGCAGTCTGTTGAGTGAGGGCTGGAGGGAGGGCAGGATGCCCACGGCACAGATGCTGGGCAGGCCATGAGGATACCATAAGGCAGGAAGAGGCACAAACAATTAGGTGGAGAGAGGTGATAAAGAGACTACCCAGTCCCACTAAAGGCATCAAAGTGGGTTGCATGTAGGAGGTAGCCCTGGAGAAATGGCCATCAGAGTGAAGCATTACCAGCCTGAGTGCCGGGAAAGGACCAAGCCAACCCCAGGACACAGGGAACGGTGGGTGACAAGCTGGTGACTGGGGCAGAAGGGGTCTGCAGGGAGACCGAGAGGTGACCCTTCTAGCCCACTGGCCCTGTCTGACTGCTGGTCTTCAGGGTCAGGGAGGGTCCAGTCCCTGAAGACTACGGCCTGTGTACACACACCAACACCCACACCGGCACCGACACCGACACAAATCCAGGGCCCACTCCTGCAAGTCCCAGGCACAGATGTGTTGCTTCCTCCCCTCTGTACCCCGAACGCTTGGTACCTAGTGCATGTGGCAAGGCCTAGGACCTCCCTAGACTTCTGGCTTCATCTTCCTCTGTCATCCCACTGACCTCTAGAAAGAAGCAGCAGCATGACTAAACCCAGTTACCACTGTCCAAAGCCACTTTGTCTTACCCACAAGAACAGTTTGGAGTTTGGAAGGACTGCTTCTCTGTCGGACTCAAGTGTGCATTAAAGCACGTTTGCATTTCTGGGAGAGGAGGTGGTCGCGGGAGGGGTCTGGAAGGGAAGCCCCAAGGACCTGGGTTTTAGCATGAGGTGGCCCGCCACCTAGTGGCCAATATGAGAAACAGCTCCTCCCAGCTGCCTGCAAACTGAACACCTGCCAGCCCACTTGCCTTCAGATCCAAGGTTCTCAGACTCTAGCTGGGCAGAGCTAAGAGAGAATAACCTCCTGGACCCCTGAACATTCCAGCTTCACCTCCACTCTGTGTGCCTGGCCCCTGACCCTCTCCCAGCCTTACCCCTGCTCCGTCCCCAGGTTGGTCCGGGAGGTAACAGGCGTGAACGTGAACATGCGTGTGGGGATTCACAGCGGCCGGGTACACTGCGGTGTCCTGGGCCTGAGAAAGTGGCAGTTTGACGTCTGGTCCAATGACGTCACGCTGGCCAACCACATGGAGGCTGGCGGCAAGGCAGGGTGAGTAATGGGTCAGAGGGGGCAGGGCCAGGGCTGGGGTGGACAGGATGGAGTGTCAGGCACTTTGTGGGCAGGAGATAGTGGGCAGAGTTCAACTGAAGTAAAAGTTTTCTTTTTACCAACGCTGCTGGGTGAGAGCTGGAGCGGGAGCTCAGCTGGCACTGAGCCTTCCAGGGTTGGGGGGACAGATGCACTGACCAGAGGAGCAGCACCTGGGCAGGGCCGGGGGCAGAATAGGAAGGCAGGGGTGGGCAGAGCTGCCAGGATGGGGCTGTAGGAAAATACACACGTAGAGGGACATAGACTTTCACAGTATGGCTCTTAGGTGACTAGGGGAGATGGTGCCTGTTTTAAGAAGGGTATGGGTGTCGGGCTGGGAGTTTGAAATCAGTCCCATCTCCAGCAGGAGCCATGGCTGGCCTTGAGTGGGGCGGTGGGGGAGAGGGCTGCAGAGCGTCTGACACTGCAGGGCAGGCAGCCGTGAGGTGGGGCACAGGGCATGGCTGGAGAGGCCAGCCTTTGCCTTTTCTGTGGTGCGGGAGGGAGACAACATGAGGGCTGGGCTGCTGAGCTCAGGCCCTGGGGTTGGAGTCATGAGCGAGCTCGCAAGTAATTCTAAATGCCCGTGTCTTCTCTCCTCCACGCCATAGACGCATCCACATCACCAAGGCCACACTCAACTACCTGAACGGCGACTACGAGGTGGAGCCAGGCTGTGGGGGCGAACGCAATGCCTACCTCAAGGAGCACAGCATTGAGACCTTTCTCATCCTGCGCTGCACCCAGAAGCGGGTCTGTGGGCCTGTGGGGGCCGGGGGAGGTTTGGAGCACCCCGGGGGATGGGGCTGGGAGGATTGCCTCTCTCTTGAGCAGCTATGGTTTGTGCGTCTCAGGTCATGGGCACCAGAGAGGCCTCATAGGAACAGATGGTGAAGAGGGTGATTTTGCACTAGGATTCTGTTGCTGACATGCTGCAAGCCCCCAGATCAGTTTAGCAGCCATAGGTCAGACAGGCGCAGGATGGAAACTACACCTCCGGGAAGCCTGTGGCTGCCAGTGCCACATGGGCGCGGGATGGAAACCACACCTCCGGGACACCTGTGGATGCCAGTGTCACGCGGGCGCGGGATGGAAACCACGCCTGTGGGACACCTGCGGCTGCCAGTGTCACGCGGGCGCGGGGTGGAAACCACGCCTCCGGGAAGCCTGTGGCTGCCAGTGCCACGCGGGCACGGGGTGGAAACCGCGCCTCTGGGACGCCTGTGGCTGCCAGTGCCACGCTGTGCCCCCCATTCTTTTTTGCCTTTTACTGGATGGATGCTTATCCTTATTTTTCTATCTGTCATCTCTCTAATACATGAAAATGCTTTGGAACATTGGTTTAAAAAATGAAATTACAAGTTATTTTTGGTGCAAAACTATGAAATCTATACATGAGGCTGGGCGTTGGGCATGTAGACTAAGTGGCCACTTGAGATCCCTGCATTCCAAAGCAGAGCACCAGTTCAAGTCCCCACTGCCCCACTTCTGATCCAGCTCCCTGCTCGCGAGCCTTGGAAGGCAGCAGCAGATGGCCCCAGGACTAAGATCTTGTCACCCACCTGGGAGACCTGCAGAGCATCCCAGGCTCCTGGCTTAAGCCACAGCTGTGACAGATATTTGGGAGTGAGCCAGGGTGTAGAAGATCTCTCTATCACTCTGTATTTCAAATCAGTGTTTTAAAGATCTTTGTATAGTTTATTCATAATGGGTTTTCATGAGCTTCTAGAATCGCCTCATATGCATGGATTTCAAAATTTTTGCACCAACATACTGATCTCTCTGATTTCATTTTCCACACACTTTTTGAAGCCCCTTCGTGCAGGTACCAGCTGTAAGTCAGTCTGTCCCTGCTTGTACTTTGTTCTCTGAAACTCAGTGCTTCCCCCTCTGTCGGTATTTAATCCACTTCCTCTTTGTGCAGCCCACACTTGCCAAAATAGAAAGCTGAATTATTAGCGGGCTTCCCAGCTTCTATTTTTGATGGTGTCATGTTCCACATTCTTAATTTTTCAGGCAAAAGAAGAGAACATTTTCTTTTTCTCCCTCAATTAGGATGCCTCTTCCTTGTGTGTTGGTCACAGCCCTTTGCTGGGGGAAAGCTGCCCATTTTCTTAGACTGGCAACTAGATGAAACTGGGAGGAAGGCTCAGATACTTAGGAGGAAGTAGAAGGACATCAGAGGGTCACCTCATCCCGATGCAACCCTCTGAAGATGGTTGAAGAGAGGGCTGGGGTGTCACAAGGCGTGTGGTCGGGGGGAGAGCTTCTCAGGATTAAATCAACTCATTCGTGAACACGCAGTAGTTCAGAGCCTACAGAAACTGAAATCTCCGCAGCCATAGCCCTCAGCCTCTCCTTCCTACTCTATGCCCTGAGTCCTGGCATGGAGACAGACAGGCAGGACCACAGCCCCATCCCAGCAGGCTAGCTAAGAAGCAGGCTGTGTCCCTGCCCAAGCCCCACCCTACCCCACCTTGTCTGACAAGGAAGAGGTGAGAGTCTTCCTAGGGCCTCTCCAGCCCTTCTCTCTTGCACTTGTTGGGGTACACAGGCAGATGGGGGTGCTGGCTGAGAAGCTGCCCTCCCTCCATCCCCGCTGTTGCAGCGTGCTTCATCAGGGAAGCCAAGTACAGACTGGAATTAGGACCTCCTCTCTCACTGTGTCACCCGGCACTGGCAGAGCCACACGCTGCCCGCCCACCCCTGAGGCTCCACGTGCAGCTGTCTCTGAGTCCCCACGTTTCAGAGAGCAGAAGTGAATTTGTCCTTGAGTGGGTGGGAGCTGGCCTGGCTGCCCCCCAACCTGAGCTTCCTCAGGATAGGGGAGGAGAGAAAGGCAGGTGCATCGGTCCAGGCCCTGGGGCGAGGAAGGGAAGAGGAGGTGAACTGCGAGAGACAGAATCTTATAGCCACATTTGTAGGGAAGACAGTGACAATGGTGCCACATTGCACATGTCTGCAGCTCCTGCCTAGGCTTACAGAACTGTGGGTTCGTGGCACACCCCAGGTTCCCACACAGAGAGGAGAAAGGGCAGCTGCCTTCTCCTAGGAGGAACTGGAACTCCCAAAGTCGGGCTGCCCCGGTGGCTCTGAGTTCAGGCTGACCATCTGCATTGCTCTCCCAGAAAGAAGAGAAGGCCATGATTGCCAAGATGAACCGCCAGAGAACCAACTCCATTGGGCACAACCCGCCACCCTGGGGGGCCGAACGCCCCTTCTACAACCACCTGGGCGGCAACCAGGTCTCCAAGGAGATGAAGCGAATGGTGAGTGGCTGGGGAGAGCATCCTCCAAGAGTGAGACCCCTTCCTCTTCTCCTCTTCCTGGAGTGTGTTTGCCCAAGGGAATTAGAAAGAGCCATAGGGGTCAGCGAGCCATAGGGGTCAGCCTGCCTGGGACTGGGAGCTGGCAGGCCCAATCTCCCAGCCCTGACTGCTCCCCATGGGTGCCCTCCGCAGCTGGGAGCACTTGGCAATGCCCCATCCTCCATCTGCCTTGGTAGAGTTTGATGTGGTCTGATCTCAGGGCCCAGCCAGCTGGGTGTTGGTGAAGCCATAGGAGCCAGCCGGGCATCAGCTTGCCCACTACCTGATAGCATTCATTGCATTGTCACTGCAGAACATCCTAGTGCTTGCATCAGAGCTGCAAGGCAGGACAAAGCCCCCACTTCCTCTCCTCTCCCCTTTCTTCCCACTGAGCTGGCCCAAGGTGGAGATGTCACTACCACCTCCAAGGCCATCACCACCTGCCTAAGAGGACAGTCACCTCTGGCTGCAGGCCCATCTGGGATGTGTTGCTGTGGGAAGAAGCAGAAGAAGGGGAACACACACAGGAGCTATGCCAGCCGCCACGAGGTCTCCATTGGAGAATGTGGGGAGTGGCCTGCCCTGAGGGAGGCCAGGATGCTAAGGGACAGGTGTGGTAGCTACTTGGTGCCCGAAGTTTGTGTCTCTGGGTTGGAACTGGTGAAGTTGCTGCAGAAGCCGTGGGGAGATAGAGTCCCACTGGGCCCTGGCAGTCAGCAGCCCAGGGCTGGGGGCCCAAGAGGAGGGTTGGGCTGGGCTGGGGACCTAGTCATTCTGCTCCCTGTTGGAGGCAGGTGGCACAGGTTTTGAAGAGGGAATTTGAACTGAGGCAGGGTCTCCATTTCAAATTTTAGTGGCAGAGGAGCCACCCAAGGTGGGAGCAGAGGAAGAGAGATCTGACTTGGCTTTTTCCTAGGGCTTTGAACTTAGATGCTTGTGGACTTGCCAGGGCTGTTGTGGGTGCTGGCTGCCGCCTGCTGCCCCCTGGTGCCCTCCCTGAAGCAAGAGGCAGTTGATAAGGTTCTTGGTGGTGGCTCCAGCCCTCCTGTAGATTCTGAATGTGGGTGGGGTCCAGAGTTGGGGAAGGGCAAGGTGGTGAGCGGATGGAGAAAAGCTGGACAGGGAGTAGGAAGATGGTATCTGTGTGTGTGTGTGTGTGTGTGTGTGTGTGTGTGTGTGTGTGTGTGTGTGCACCCACATGTCCTAATGGAGAGGTCAGGAGCTGGCAGCCTGTGGGCTGGGCTCAGTTCGTTCTCTGTTTGTAGGCCTCAGGGAATTATTTTTCTTTGGTGACACCTTCCCCCATAAACTGCAATTCTGGTTCTTTTGGGAATCTTAAAGGAGGCAATTTGGGCAATAAGCACCAGTTTGGCAGACCATTAATCATAGTTAGGACAAAGAAGAATTAGCAGTGAGGGCCCAAACTGGGGGAAGGGAAGGGGGAGAATTTAATTGCTTTGCCAAGCAGGGGTGTCAGAACAAGGTTCCCTACTATAGCAGCCTCTTCAGCAGCCTGCGGGAGGGCAGGCCCCTACCCGGGTGGGCCCAGTGTCCCCCGAAGAGGCTGGCATCCGAGCAAGGGCTCCAGTCACCACCCCCACCTTGCCTGTCCAGGCTGAGCCCCACCACTGGATATGTTCCACACCGCCCATGGGCTTTGGTGTTAAACTTGCTTCAGATCTTCAAGACCTGCCAAAGGAGGACTCTGATCCTGATTTGCCACCATCACTTTGAAATAAAACCCAGTACAGCCAAAAGGAGGGGTGAGGATTGGACAGAGCAGCCGCCAGGTACTAAAAGGGCACTCACGGTCCACAGCCAGCTGCTTCTTGAGGCTTCCCCGGCATACACAGTGGAGCAGAGCTGGGCTTGCTCCTGCGTGGGCCTGACCATAAGGTCTTCCAAGTGATTTGTTTGTAGTAAGATTGACAGGACACTCAGCTGGTGGGACAGGCAGACATGGAGAGGGACAGTGACCTACTTCCTGGGGGTGGGCCCCGCCTGCAGATCTGTGCTCTGAGCACCTCAGGGGACCCAGGGGAGGGGATGCACAGCTTGACCTGCTACTGTCTGCTTTATTCTCATTTCCCCAACCTGAGCCTGACACTGAACTGTCTACGAGCCCCTGTGTGCAGGTGGTTAGTGTAGACCCAGCTTCCTGCTCAGCCCAGGAGGAATGGCAGGTCAGTGGTCTCTCAGATGCTGGTCAGAGCAGTGGAGGCCAGCAAAGCAGCAGCACAGCTCAGCAGGTTGTCACCCACTCCTGCAGTGGAGTTCATAAGCTGTTGCTTCCTGGGGCCATGGAATACAAAGAGCTCACATGTGTGGCCACCTGCAGCCTGAGCCATGCTGTGCTGAGAACATGTGGCTTGCACCCGGGTGACACCTACTCCTCCCGCCAGGACTGTAAGGACAGGCAGAGGGAAGGCCTGGCAATCCTCAGGGGACAAATATGCCCAGCTTGACCTGGCAGACAACTGCATGGCCAGCTGCAGGCACTTGGGAGGGTGGTGGTCTGGAGGCTGCTATGGCTCTGGAAGCCTCCCTCTTATCTCCCACTGTAAGAAGTGGAGAGAGTTGGGGCTCTCTCGATACTATGGGTCCTGGAGGCACACAAGCCCTGCGTGCACTTCCACATGTGTCCTTTGTGGGAATGAATACGGGAATGTTTATGTGACCCTGGTCCCTCTGTAGAGTGGAGTGGCCAAGATTTGAACCAGCACTCTGATATGGGATGCTGGCATGTCAGGCCACGGCTTTACCTCCTGGGCCACAGGACTGGGCCCCTGAAATGTGTTTATCCTTCTGTGGAATTGACAGATGAATTCCAAGTCTGGGCTGCCCACTCCACTGGCTCCAAGGCACCAAGCACCACACCAGTTCTCAGTGTTGCGAGTAACCGTGAACTTGAGTCCAGGACAGAACATGTGATGTTGTGTGTGTGTGTGTGTGTGTGTGTGTGCTGGGATGCATGAGTGACAGATGGAACAGCTTGATCATTCTCACTCCATCTGAGTAAGAGGAAGAGCTAGGAAGCAAGAACGGGGGGCCTCCGAGTGCATGTTCCAGGTGTAGGCAGAGGGGCTGAGGGGAGGTCAAGGAATGGCATGGACACCCGGGTTTGCCTGTGGATGCAATGCAGTCAGCACCTCCCAGTACCCTGCACAGAGCCCTTCTCCTAGATGGCTGCAGCTCTTGCCTCTCCCCTCACTCTCCTCTTTGCGTCTCCTTCTCTTGTAGGGCTTTGAAGACCCCAAGGACAAGTGAGTACCACACCTGACTCTCTTCCCGCTCACTCAGCCTAGGGATCGCCCTACCTCTACCTGTCACTCCCCACGCTCCTCTGTGAGAAGTGACCCCTGCCCCCAACCACAGCTGGGAGGGAGTAGCTCTCAGACTGGCCACCAGCGGCCATCAAGCACTGGCCATCATGTACCTGCATGCACCATAGCTCCCTCAGGACAGCATAGGCCTTGGCACTGGCCCCTAGCCTCTGATCATATCCAGAGCCTCTGAGCAAATGCCCTCCATGCCTCCTGCCTTCACTTCCCTGGTCCTTGGATGCCCCAGATTTTCACTCCAGGACCAAGCTATACCCTGAGCAGAGGGTGTTTTAAGTTTACTACTCCAGGATCCACTTTGAGCAGGGAGTCAGGGGACCAGGTGGAGCTGTGGCAAGAGTGTCACCCTCAGGTCTCAGACAGGATACCTCAGTGGAGAGCTGAGAGCAGACTGTCACCTGTGGGAGAAACAGCCAACACTTCGGGGTTGACTCACATTGTTGCAGTCGTGTATTGGTCATCAGGACAGCCCTTCAGCCTGTGGCCATGAGGTTGTTCACGTGCAGAGTGCCCCCTGGCATGAGATTTCTGGCTGCCTAGTCTCCATACCCAGCCATGTGTTCAGGGCTCACAGCGATCACCCCTCGTGGCACCCCGGCCTGTCTGATGTCTGTCTGTCCTGCTCTCAGGAATGCCCAGGAAAGTGCAAACCCCGAAGATGAAGTGGACGAGTTTCTGGGCAGGGCAATTGACGCCAGGAGCATCGACAGGCTGCGGTCGGAGCATGTCCGCAAGTTCCTTTTAACCTTCAGGGAGCCTGACTTAGAGAAGAAGGTACGGGGGAAGGGGCGGGGAAGGGGCAGAGGGAGTGAGAGAGTGGCCCCAGGGAGGGGCAGCAGGGAGAAAGCTACGGGACCTACAGAGGAAGGAGCCTCTCCTGGGGCCTGAGTGTCCTCAGCTCTGAGGTCACGCAGAGAGACTGGGGGTATAGACACCCCAAACTCAGTGTGCCTCAGTCTTCTCATCCAGAAAAGAGGGTTGTTTAGCACATCTATCTCACAGCAAGGTTCACATGGCTTCATGCGTGTGCCACTGTAGGCCATGTGGGCACCTGGCACATAGTAGGAGGTTCCTGTTGGTGCTTACCTTGGTGGTGTTGTCGCCAAGAGTACCCTCAAGGGATTCAAGCTGGAAGTGGTGATCCCAATTGGAGGGGAGAAAGCTCACGGTCAGGGTGGTTGGGTGACTTTCTTCAGACCACCCAGGGAGACATGAGAGGATCCTGGCCAGATCCTGGTCCTTGTGTCCAGCGGGCACCTCTTGCAGCATGTCACCCACAGTTCCTCCAGGCTCTTTCGGCACAGTGGGCTCCCGGAGCTCATTCGGCACTAAACCAAAGAGGAAGGGCTCATGGGCAGAATAAGACTGGGGGCAGGGAGGCCGTGATATGGACTCGGAGGCTGGGCTGGTGTCTGCCTTTGTTGGTACAACTGCTGATGGCAGGGACCAAGGGTGACTCTGGACAAGAAACAGACACCCCTAAAATTCCACTGACTCCTCTATAAGTGGACACAGTATGGTCCCACACCCACTTGGTGGGTCCTAAAGGACCCTGAAAGAGCTTGGTGGATTTCCTGCAGGTGATGGTACCCAGACATTCTAAGGCATCACTTAGGACTCTGATAGTGGCCCAGCTGCAGGGGGTTTCTGGCCCGATGCTGCTCTGGGTCCCTCCCCTTGCCCTGCCTATACCAGACTCCTTGTGCCCATCTGCATGCCCATCTGGTTCTCAAGGGTTCCCTGTCCTGGGAACGGGCTGTGTGCCCGTCCAGCCTTGGGGCAGAGGTAGGGGGATGTGTGTGTGTGTGTGTGTACGTACATGTGTGCAGCCCAGGCCTCCTAGTCCCTACACCCTCTCACCCTGTCTGCTTCTCCCACCCCTCTAATCCCCAGTACTCCAAGCAAGTGGACGACCGCTTTGGTGCCTACGTGGCATGTGCCTCGCTCGTCTTCCTCTTCATCTGCTGTGTCCAGATCACCATCGTGCCCCAGTAAGTGTTCATGTCTTTGGCTGTGGGGTCTCCCATGGGCTGGAGGGGGTGTTGATCACCAAGGACTGGTGCTTGGTCTGGGAGGGAGATTTGGGGACATACCCTTGGTGGGTGAACCTGGGATGCCAGCAGCAGGTAGGGTCTGGCCCCACTGGGCTGAGAGGCAGTGTACCCCTGGACTTCTCCACAGGTGCTGCCCAGCAGCATGAGCTGGGTGTCCTGCCCAAGGCTTGCTTATCTTCTCTCACCTCACACACAGCGCCACTGCCCTGTCCAGCATGTCCCCAGGGTTCACCAAGCTGGCCTCCTGTGACATTCAGTGTTGAAAAGACACCCCTTGGATCTGTGACTGCTGTGGTTGTCAGGACACAGCAGGTAGAGCACCAGATGCCAGCAGCTGGCTCTGCCTGCCCCCGGCTCTGCACCTGTGCCCGTGATACCCTGTACCAAAGCCACAAGGAATTGATGGGAGAGTGGGTCTTCATGGAACCCCAATTTCTTGCATTGAAACGGGGCCAGCTAGACCTCCTATTGATGGTTCCCTATTAGCTTGCATGCTGACTTCTTTTTTTAAATGTATTTTTATTTTGAATTTTGAATTATGTGGTACAATCTCGTATAGGCTGGGATTCACCCCCAAACTCCCACCCCCTGTCAGATTATTCCCATTTTGTTACAATGGTGTAGTCCTTCATAAGGAATCATAATTCTATCAGTCTCTTATTTAAGAGTACCCCAACTTATTGGTACAGACAACGTCAGACATATGTACAAAAATTTCATTCGGAATCCATCTTTCGTCTGGAAGCAGGGATGTATGTTCCATTATGCCCCCATGTCTGTATATGATAGACCCCAATACTCCATCACTATACATTTCCATAAATGGGAAGCCATGAAACAAGGTCAACAACTGGTATGAGTTAGAACAGCCACAACAACAACAAATTATAGCACCATGAAAAAATGCGCCACTGAGTAACCAACATACTGACTTCTAACTGCTCTGTCTGCAGTGTGGCAGGGGCATGGAGTCACCCCTGCCATCCCTCCCTGGCTCAGGCACCAACACTGGAAGCCTGGAACAAAGGCAGCTATGGGAGTGCGCCCTTTAGGAATCTGCTCCTTCTGGTACACCTCTGGTCCCCGCCACCTCCAGGCTACACTCTGCCTTAGGGACTCCAGGCTGGTGTGAGGAGCCGAGCTTTCTGAAGCAGAGTCCCCTGCAGTGCTGGTGTCCTGGGGCTCTCACTGAGAGCCTGCAGTCTCCCTCAGCAGGGAGAGGCAGAGCCAGGGACACAGATTTTTCCTATTCACTGGCCAGAAGTTTTGGAACAAAAGCAGAGCAGGACATGCCCTTCTGAGCAGCCCTAGCTTCGTGCCTGTCACAGAACAGTTGGGCTGCTGGCCGACCCATTGCTAGATCAAGGCCTCCAACCAAAGCAACCCTCAGCCGTAATGGTTATTTACCCTTGAGTGAGGACTTGGAGGGACTACGTGGGAGTTTGTGTGTGTGTGTTAATGATTTATTTTGTTTAGTTGAAAACAGAATTATAAGAGAGACAGGGAGGGAAAGAGAGACAGAGATCCATCTACCTGTTCACTCCATAAATGGCCACAACAGCCAGAGCTGGACCAAACCAAAGCCAGGAGCTTTTGGGTCTCCCACGTGGGTGCAGGGAGCCATCCTCCGCTGCTTTCCCAGGCACATTAGCAGAAAGCTGGGTCAGAAGTGGAGCAGCCGGGACTCGACAGGTGTCTACATGAGATGTGGGCATCACAAGCAGCTTTGCCTGCTTCACCACAGTGCCAGCCCTGGAAATTCCTCCAGACCAAGTGAAGCAAGCCTGCCCTAGCTAAGATTCAGGCGCAGGGTTCTGCATGAGGCCCCCTGGGCCACTGCTCCCTGTGGGGAGGTGGCAGGGCAGCAGGGAGGGCAGGAGCAGAGCCCTGTGGGGAAGCTCCCCACTGGCTGTGGAGGACTTTGTCGGTCGGGACCAGGGAGGCGGAGGTCTGGGGTGTGGGAAGGGGCCTCCGGGTCCCATGGCCTCATGCCCAGCCACTCTCTCGTCGCCTCTGCTCTCCAGCTCCATGTTCATGCTGAGCTTCTACCTGGCCTGTTTCCTGCTGCTGACCTTGGTGGTGTTTGTGTCTGTGATCTACTCGTGCGTGAAGGTGAGTTCGGCTGATGCGGGAACCCAGTTGCCTTTTTCCCACTCTGCCCCTCTGCCAGGGTGGAGGTGGATGTCATGACTGGTGGTGCTGGCCGGGGGGGGGGGGTAAGGAGGGCAGGGTGCATGGTGCTGGCAGCAAGCTGGCCACCAGGGACATTCATTCGCAGGATCCCGTACCTCTTTGGCTGCCTTCGCCACCTTTGCAAGTCTTTGCTGCAGGGAGATGTGATTGCGGCCACTTCCATCTGTCTCCATCTGTCTCCTTGGTGTCCAGTGGGACAGAGGAAGGGCACAGAACAGTGCACAGCGAGCACTCGCTGAAAGTCTCCCTTAAATGTCCTTTGTGGTGTGCCCTGGATGGGGTGGGCACAGAAAGAAGGGGTTCCAGCTCCCCCACCTCCCATGGGAGAGAGGGGCTCCCCAGAATGACTGTTTTGGATGTGGGTAGCATGCGTCCAGGATCAGGGCCCTGGCTTTTTTCCTTTCTGCATCTCCCCACATCTTCTCTTGGTCATGCCCCGTTGCCTGCCCAGGCTGAGTGCCTACACAGGTCTGCTCTATCCGGGAGATCACTCGGTGTCCCATCGGCCTTGCCCACCATGCCTTCCCCTTGTCTTCTTCCTCTCACGACAGCCTGATCCCAGGAAGAGACATGTCATGTTTCACAGTGTTCCCCATTCTCTGCAGGCATTGGACCCACCCAAATCCCCTTTTCTCTCCTCCTTCCCCACTGGCTCCTTTCTGTGCTGCTAATTGCTCAGTCTCCTCATGGTCAAGGTTCTAACAGAGTGGTTGTCAGAAGCGGGCATGAGCTGTGCCTCAGCAGTGCCTTCCTGGGCATGGGCCCCAGGTCTCTTCCTGCCCAGCAGCATGCCTTCCTTAGCCTGTCTTCAGTCATCCACCACCTTCTAGTCTTGCAGTTTTTAAGATTTATTTATTTTTATTGGAATGTTAGATATACAGGAGGAGAGACAGAGAGGAAGATCTTCTGTCCTCTGATTCACTCCCCAAGCAGCTGCAATGGCCAGGACTGAGCCAATCCGAAGCCAGGAGTCAGGAGCTTCTTCTGGGTCTCTCACGCAGGTGCAGGGTCCCAAGGCTTTGGCCCATCCTCCACTGCTTTCCCAGGCCACTGGCAGGGAGTTGTATGGGAAGTGGGGCCACTGGGATTACAACTGGCACCCAAATGGGACCCTGGTGCATGCAAAGTGAGAACCTAGGCTACCGTGCCAGGCCCCAATCTTGTAGTTTTAAACCCCACCCCAGTTCTACTTGTTACACTCTGTTTCTATAAAAGGACACCATGTGTTCCTGAGAGCCAAAAGGTGGGAACACCCAGAGTGTCTATGAACAGATGAAAGGCTTGGCAGAATATGAACTGCGACGGTCATAGAACCTGGCTCAGCAGTAAAAAGTGGTATACGGTGACATGCCATGGTGTAGTGTGACAAACGAGCTCTGAGACGGTGCTGGGTGGAAGCCATCGGGCATGGATGGTCCTATAGTGTAGGATTCCACTGAGCTGGAAAGCGCCCAGATGGGGCGAGCTCAGTGCGGTAGGAGGGGATGAGCAGCCGAGGGAGTTATTGGTCAACAACAGAGTTCCTGTGGCAGTGGTGAGCGGGCTTTGGGAGGAGGCTGTCACCACATCACCATGGTTACACAGTGTTGTGACTGTCATCCATGCCACTTAGAGATGGGTAAAAGGACACATTTTATGGTGTGTATATGTGTGTGTATATGTGTATATATGCGTACATGTAGCACTACAATAAGAAATGCTTCCTTTCTCTAAAAAAAAAAAAAAAAGCCAACCCTAAAATAGCCTCCTTAGCATTTTCAAAAAAATAAATGTCTCTGTTTTCATTAGAAGACAGAGACAGACTTCAATCTCTCTAGTGGATCACTACCCAAATGCGCCACAGCCATGCGCTGGGCCAGCCTGCAACCAGGTCTCCCACGTGGGTGGCAGGGATCCATGGACTTCAGCCGTCACCTGTTACCTCCCAGGGGACATATCCTCAGGGTGCTGGGATTGGGATCAGAGCTGGGACATGTGCCCGGGCCCCCAGCAGAAGCTGTCAGTGTTCCAAATGACATTGGAACTGCTACATCCAGCAGCCGTCCCTTAGAAGGTGTCCCCTCCACTTCAGAATATTTCTTTTTAATTAAATAATGAACTAAGGCAGAGCCATTATTTGCTTTTGTATTTCAGTTACTTAACTAGCCCATTGAATATATAGTCTACCATCTTTTCCTTTAAAAAAATATGTATTTATTTATTTGGGAGAGAGAGAGAGAGAGAGAGAGAGTGAGCCCACAGCAGTCAGGACTAGACGGGATCAAAGCCAAGAGCCAGGAACTGCGTCTGAGACTCTGCCATGGTTGGTGGGAACCCAGATACATGTGCCTTTGCTCTTTATCTCCAAGCCACATCAGCAAGAAGCCGGATCGGAATCAGGGAGTGGCTGGGATTGGAACCAGGGACTCCAATGTAGGCATTGCAACAAGTGGCTTCCCCCACTGCACCACCCCCCTCCTGTGTAGTAACTACAGCCTGGGCTTCCTCTCCTTCCTGCTGACGCCTTTGCACATGGAAGAAGTTGTCCTGTGTGCTTGGGTAGCTGGTGGTCAGTTGGGGAGGAGGGGCGTTTAGCCATTCCCCTTGTCTGCACTGGCCAGTTTGGCATCAGGACTTTGGTCAGGTCACTTCTCTTGCCCACTACATGTTATCCATAAAACCTCCCTTGCCTCCTTATGTGTCATTGGACCCAGCTGGTTGACAACTGATGGTGAATTTGCTAGGCTTGTTTCCAGCTCCTTCATCCAGTACAGCGGTCTTTTTTGTGTTCCGAGAGATCCGTTTCCCCAGGAAGAGGCTGGCAAGTGGACTCCTACCTTCCCGCATGCCCCAGGTTGCAGATGCACTGGCCCTGACCACATGCCCTCCACCAGGGCAGCCCACCCCCATGCCCACTGCAGATGGAAGGCAGCTGCAGCAAAGAGCATGATCAGGAAGAAGGTATCTGGTCCTCCCCAGGCATGCACGCAGCAGGGACATTAATCTGCCTCTTCTTCCTTTGCTGAATGCAGGGACAGGGACCTGCCCCTGCATGGCATTGCACAGTGGCCAGGCCGGGAGCACCAACTGCCCTTTGTTACCTATGCAGGTATTGGGCATGAAGCTGTCTGGACCATGATTTTCACTGCTGTTTTTCCTTTGGAAAACATTTGCTCTTTCCCAAAAGGCGGTATTTTCTACCTGATTCCCTGTGTGTTCTCATCAGTGACATGGTGGGGAGAGGACAGGCTTTCCTTATGAGATCTGATTAATTTCTGTGTCACTGCATGGGTGCAGGCCCTGCTGATGCACTGCCAGGCCGAGTTCCTCTCTCAGGTGCCCTGACTTGAATCTGTGCCCCAAATAATGTGGGCTTTAGTGTCTGAAATGGCCCAGGCTGTGCCCCTCCAAAGAGAAAAGGATGAAGGCAGCAGAGACTGTTTCCCTGCATATCATGGAGCTGTCCTCCCTGGCCCTTTCTCCCACAAGCCTTTGCTCTTTGGAGAAAACTGTGTTAAATTTGCATCACGCCGATCCGAAGCCAGGATCGGCATAGCATCGACCGTTGCGCTCACTTTGGGAGTGAATCATCGGACGGAAGATCTTCCTCTCTGTCTCTCCTCTCTGTATATCTGCCTTTCCAATGAGAAAATAATAAAAATAAATCTTAAAAAAAAAAATTTGCATCACGCCCCACCAGTCCACGTTGCCCACAGACCCAGAGTCTCACCCACTTGGGAAGGGACAGAAGCAGCACCAGAGCCAGATGTGGAGTCTCTGGCAAGGACCCCTGTGTGTGGGCGGGAAGGAGGCGTGCCCCATGTGGATCACCTGCCAAGAAGGTGTGCTCGCTCACATCTCCAGGGCAGAGTGCAGCCCCTTCCCGCTGGGGCCGTTGTGACCATCTCAACAGTCTCCCCAGGTGGCTTCTGCCTGCTTGTCCTGTGAAGCAGCCCTGGCTTAGGCCTGCCCAAGTGCACAGAAGACATTGGCTCTGTGCTTGTCCCACTCACTGACCTGGGCTCCTGCCTTGTCTGTGCCTTGTTAGTGCTTCCCGGTTCAGAAGACCCAACTCCTGCTCCCAGCAGCAGGCAGTAGGGGAGCTCAGCTCCATAGCGGTATGTGTCTGTGTGTATCTGTCTGTGCCTGTGTGTGTGTGTGTCTTTGTATACATGTGTGTATGCCTCTGTGTACCCATGTGCCTTTGTACCTATATGTGTGTGCCTTGTGTATGTATGTATACTTATGTATGTGTCTGTATGTGCTTGTATGTGTGTCTGTGTGTGCCTGTGTCCTTGTGTGTCTGTCTGTGTCCCTGTGTGTGAGTGTGTGTACATGAATCTCCCTCACCCTCAGGCTCCCCGTCCTACTCTGTACCTCACTGTCCCCTAGGTCCGCTCATCTGCACTCCCAGACCTGTGAGCCATCTGTCTGCGCTCCATGCAGATACTGACAAAGCCCACCTCCTGCCTGCAGTCTGCACACATCTTGCTGGTTGTCCTTTCTTCCCTGGCTTACCAGGGTTCTCCTCCTAGGGACCTTCTGTCCTAGGAGGCTGTGTGATTTGCACTCTCCCTTGACCACCTGTATAGCCCAAGGCACATCCCGTGTCTCCAGGAAGGATGTATTTTTCCACGTGTTCTTTTAGGGATGTTAAGAAGCATTTTGCAGGGGCCTCCTGTGGCTCTCAAGTCACACAGTCCAGGATTTGCCGCATTCCCCAAGCCTCCACGGGGCTGTGCTTCAGTCCACTTTGCAGAGGGGGTACAGCAGGGTCAAGGAGCTTCCCTCAGCTGTCAGAGCCAGGCAGGGATTAGAGCTGGGACTTTGGTCCACATGGTCCATGTCCTCAGAGCTCAGCGCTGCTCCCCCCGGGATGCCACCTTTGTTGTGAGGATCAGTAGACTCCCCAAAGGCCGAGTGACAGGAGCCCTGATGTGCCACGCATCTACCTGCCTTGTTTGACTTGCAGTGTTTTCATGTCTTCCTCTTTCTATCCTTTGAAGCAGAGGCCGCTGTTCCTTTCATTAGCTCTTTGTCAGAGAAGACTGTCTTCTTCTGCTCTCAGCTCTCTGCCTTCATCAGTTTTCCTCTGCTGTGTCCCAGCCATACCTCACAGCCGGGGAAGTGCCCCCACCCCGGGAGCCCACTGATGTGCCTGGAGTCGCTCAGAGAAGCCAGGATCAAAACTCCCTCGCCGCAGCCGTGCTTTGTGAGTCAGGTTCTCACTTGGGTCCTGAGCTGAATTGATTTGAATTCATCAGAATGATTCTGTGCTCTTTTTAAAGTATTTTATTTGAAAGTCAGAGTTACAGAGACAGGGAGCAAGAGAGAGAGATCTTGCATCCACTGGTTCACTTTCTAGGTATCCACAACAGCTGAGCCAGGCTTGGCTGAAGCCAGGAGCTTGAAATTTCATTCAAGTCCACCACATAGGTACGGGCCCAAGCTGTAGAGTCACGTGCTGCTTTCTAAGGCACATTAACAGGGGCTGAAGTAGAACAGCCAGGACTTGAACTGTAGCTTATGTGGATGCTGGTGTCACAGGCAGTGGTTTAACCAGCTAGGACACAATGTCAGCCCCTATAATTCTTATTGTATTAAGGCTTTTTTTTAATTTGAAAGAATAACAGAGAGAGAGAGAGAATTTTCCACACAATGATTTACTCCCTGAATGGCCATAGTGGCCAGTCTGGGCCAGATTGAAGCCAGGAGCCAAGACCCTCATCTGGGTCTACCACGTGCCTGGCAGAGTTAACAACATGCAGCGTCTGCTGTTGCCTTCCCAGGCACAGGAGCAGGGAGCTGGATTAGAAGTAGAGCAGCAGGGATTACAGCTGCTGCTTTGAGATGGCATGTTGACTGCAAATGGCAGCTTAGTCAGCTGGGGCACAGCTCCAGCCCCAATTATCTGCTCATTCCATGTGCAGGTGTCAGAGGAGCCACCGTACTATTCACAGCAAGCAGCTGCATGGTTTTACATCTCCCACCAGGGGAGCACGAGGCGTCAGTCTCTCTACATCTTTATGAAAACCTTTTCCGCTTTCTTTTATAGCTTGTTTTATTGACACACACAGACAAAGGGAGAGCATGAGGGCACCCCCCTTCTCCTGGATCACTTCCACCAGGGTCAAGACAGAGCCTGGCCAAAGGTGGTGGGAGGCAGGAGCTTGGTCCGGGTCTCCAACGTGGGTGGCAGGAACCCAGTTCCTTGGGTCATCACTGTTGCATCCCATAGTCTGCTTTAGCTGGAACACTGGAATTACAAGCAGAACCAGGGCTTGAACCAGGCACTTGAATATGGGATGCCAACATCTTAAGCGCTAGGCTAAACTCTCCTTACCCCACCTTTCAGTTTCTTGCTGGATTGTTTGAGCACAAAATATTCCAGTTTTGAGGAAGGCTGGTTTATTTTTGCTTCTCTCTCTCTCTCTGGCTGGTGCTTTTCATGTCATTCTCTAAGAAACCATTGTCTTCTCCAGATTCACAGTGATCTCCTTGTGTGTATTTTCTAGTTTGTATTTTTCAGTTTCCTAGTTTCAGCTCTTACATGAAGGTCTCTAGCCCACTTGAGGTCAGTTCCTGTGTGCAGCGTGAGGTAGGACATGACTTCATTCCTTCTCACTTGTCCCCGTGGCAGCTGTTGAAAGATCCCCTTCTCCCCTGTTAGACTGTCTGGGTTCCCTCAGAGGAACCACCTTGCTGTTGATGCAAGGCTTTCCTTCCAGACTCGGTGCGAATTCTGTGTCTATGAAGCAAGATGTTCATCCAGGCATGTGCTTCTGAATCCCAAGTACCTTCCCATCTGCCCCAGAGGAGGGTTCCTTTGGCACACTCTTGTTTCCCTAACCACATTATGGGTTCTGACGGTGCAGCATGTGCTGGAAGGTGAGATGGAATCCCAGACCTGCACCTCCCAGGGGATGACAGCCTGTGTGGTTACTTGCTTCTGACAGCTGCAGCTCTTTTTGTCATCTGTCCTTCCCTCTGGTCCCCTCATAGAAAATGGCCTTGTGGAAGGGTGGAACATTCTCGGGTGAGAGAGAAATACTGTGTCTTTGCCCAAGTGGCCCAGGTTCGAGACTAGGGGGCCACTAGCTTGAGTCTGCTGCTGTATGGATGCTGGCAGGAGACATGAGACTTTAGGGACAAAGACGAAACTGCATTGCTCATGCACAGCCAGCTGCATGAGAACCAGCATGATAGCATTGATTCCTCTTAGCCTTTGAGTCCCAAGGGCCAGTGGAACTGTGTGTGTGTGTGTGTGTGTGTGTGTGTGTGTGTGTGTGTGTGTGTGTGTGTGTGTAGTGGGCTTGGGTTGCAGCTACAGAACATTGGGCCAAAGAAGAGTCCAGCACCCTTGGAGTCAGCGGCAGTCCCGCCCCACTGCTGGTGGGCAGGTTACCCTTGACCACCTCACTTGGCCATGTGGCCACCTTTAGAGGAATGGGAAAGCTTTGTGGTCTGACACACTCAGCAATGTGTTCCGTGTCCAGGATGGAACCACAAACCCAGAAGTTGTGGGTTCCCCTCTAGAAGCCAGACAGTAGGAGCCTTCGGGGCAGGGCATGGGGCTCGCTCAAGGTAACCCAGAAAGGCCTCACCTAAAAGTCAGGCTCACTGACCATTGGCACATTGCTTTCTCTCCTCCCTCTCTGCGCAGAATGCCTGTCATAGTTGGGACTTGTCAACAAGAGCAGTGGGGACTGCCGGAGTGGGACAGCCTGGGAGCACTCTGCTTTGCCTCTTGGGCTGCCATCTTCTTTTCAACCCAGGTGGCACAGCAGAGGAAGAGGACATGGTCTCCAGGGCCATCCGAGAGGGTGGCAGAGGTGGGATGTAGGTGGTTGCAGTGGGTCTGCAGGGGAATGGACATATGCTTGGTCGGGCTGAAGGATATGCAGGAAGGGTGAGTGCTCTGTGCAGCTCATGCTAGAGGGGGTGCTCCCCTCCTGCTCTCTCCCACTGCCGCGCTGCTCTGCCCCTCTCCCAAGTCAGCCCCTTCTCCACGCACCAGGTCCTGTCTGAGTCCTGAGGCCCACAGTTCACCCCTTCCGAAGAGCGTTTCTGATCCTCCTGCCCCCGCCCCCAGGAAACATTTTGTGCCCCTCCTGAATCCGTGGCATATGTATACTGCCATGGGCATCCTGTGACTCAGGGCCCAGCATCCGCACAGCAGGTGAATTTGCTTTTTCAGCTGCTTCTGTGTAGAGTCAAGACAGCCTCGTTCCTTTCCTCCTGCTCCCTTGCCATGGACTGCCCATGCAGCCCCACTGCTGGCCAAGCTACACGCCGTGGGCAGCGGTGGGTGTGAGACGGAGGCCTGCAGCCTGGGCGGGCTTCAGCTGTGCTGGTGGCACAGGTGGGGCCCCTGATCCCCTCCGTGGCTTTCTGGGAAATCCTCACTGGTGGCTGTTGTTTCTCTCTCCTTCCCACTGCATCCCCCCAGCTCTTCCCAAGTCCGCTGCAAACCCTGTCCAGGAAGATTGTGCGCTCCAAGATGAACAGCACCCTGGTTGGAGTGTTCACCATCACCCTGGTCTTCCTGTCGGCTTTCGTCAACATGGTGGGCCTGGGGGCAGGCCAGCGGCGGGCAGGCATGGGCAGGGGGAGGTTCCTGGGACGTTCCTACTTGTGTCTCACCTTGCTTCTGGGGTTGGATGTGGCTCACACAGAGCAAGTCCCCTGGGAGGGTGAAGGACTGTGCTTTAGGAAGGTGGGTGCACTGCCCATGCCCTCCTCTCTGCTTTGCCAGGGTCGGGTGCTTGCCCTGCCTTTTTTTTTTAATCTGAAAGGCAGAGTTGCCTGGGGTTGGTAGGGAGGAAGACACACACACACACACACACACACACACACACACACAGAGAGAGAGAGAGACAGAGAGAGAGAGAGAGAGAGAGAGAGAGAGAGAGAGAGAGAGAGAGAGAGAGAGAGAGAGAGAGCTTCTCCATCCACTGGTTCACATCCCAGATGGCTGCAGTGGCTGAAGCTGGGCCAATCCAGAGCCAGGAGCTTCCTCCAGGTTTCCCTTGTCAGGGAGGGGGCTCAAGTACTTGGGCCATCCTCTGCTGCTTTCCCAGGTACATCAGCTGGGAGCTAGCTCAGAAGTGAAAGCAGCTGGGTCTTGAACCAGTGCCCACATGGGATGCCAGCACCACGGGTGGCAGCTTAACCCACTACACCTCAGCACTGGCCCCATTCAACCTGTTTCTTTCGGGCTCCTCTTTTGTCATGAGTTGGTGTCAGGGTGAAAGGGCACCTGCTGTGCTGCTCCCCTCCACTCTATCTGGACTGACCCCCTCCTTGCTGTCCTCCCTGTCCCCAGTTCATGTGTAACTCCAAGGACCTGCTGGGCTGCCTGGCAGTGGAGCACAACATCAGCGCAGTCCATGTCAATGCATGCCACGTGGTGGAGTCAGCCTTGAACTACAGCCTGGGAGAGGAGCGGGGCTTCTGCAGCAGCTCGAGGCCCAACTGCAACTTCCCCGAGGTACCGTGGGAGGGCGTGATGACTCATTACTGCTCTGGGTATCTCCCCTTGCCCCCTGCCCTCTGCCCCAGCCTCTCACTGCACCACCAGATCCTGGTGAGCTAGCATAGCCTCCTCAGCATAGCAGCTATTGTGAGGGTGATGTGGCTGTTGTGTCACATGTGTGCCTGTGACATCCTTGCAGGAGCCTTCGGACATGGGTGCTGTATGATATCCTGCAGAGTTGCAGAATTTGGTGCACAGAAAGGTTAAGTAACTTGCCCCAGGTCACACAGCCAAAACTCTCACTCAGGTTGTCAGGTTCTGAACCCAAGGAGAAAACCTATGGATCCTCAGTGTCTGTACCAGACCCAAGCCCACCTCAGGAAGACCACCACAATTCCCTAGCTTGAAGAGTCCCAGAACAGAGAAGACAGTGGGGCTGGCTCCAACTTCCCCTGCCCCGAGGGCGCAATGCAGCAGTGTTTTCACAGATTTGTACAACCATCAGCATGATCTAATTTTAGAATGTATCCATGACCCCAAAAGGAATTTATTTGGGATGAAAGACTAAGGTGAACAATGCTTCTTCAGAGAATGGTTGGTGTTGTCCATCTGAGTAGGGTACCCAGTGGCATGGCAGTGAAGCATCATAACTGGGCTCGCAGCCTGGGTACCTGCCAGGGACCAAGTGAGTCCTTCAAACACTCCCAGCTCCCTGCTCAGGTGCAGTCAGGGGAGAAGGCTCATGTGTCCATCCAGGTCCCAGAGGGCCATAATTCATAGTGAAGGTCAAAGCTGTAGGCCAGGGGAGAAGGTGTGTGACCCGGCCTCCTTTCCCACCAGGGACGGAGCCTGGCTGCTCCCCTGCCTGGTTTACAGTTAAGGCGAGGAAAGGCCAGATGTAGGGTGGAGGAAATTATGCCAGTGCCTCCCTAGACAAATGTCCTCCTCTGTGCCCTGGAGCCAGCTTACAGGCACAACTCCTGCTCCCATCACACCCATTGAAAGCCCACAGAGCACGTGGCTGCTTCCCAGGGGCCTTTGTTGCAGTGCATGGTCAGTTTTCAGTCTCGCACATGTCCCTTAGCATGTGCTCCCTTGCCCAGGGAAGAGGAGACACGAGGGGGGGGGGGGCGGGAAGGGAGAAAGCGATAGGCTTTGCCCTGGCGGGAGAGGGAGGTGCTGGCCTGCAGCTCTGGATGCGGCCCCACCAGGTCCTGGGCTGTGGCTGCTGCAGGCGCAGACCTCTCCCCATGAGTGCTGCCCCTTACTCAGCCGCTCCTTGCAGACCCCAGCACTCTCCTTCCATCTCCCGGGTATCCAAACCTTGGCTATGGGAGGCAATCCAGGCTGACCTGGAAGGTGCATTCCCCAATCCCAAGGATGGGTAGCTGGGCTCTGGGTTCCATCACCTGGGCATGCCCTCCTTTGCCCCAGTTCTTGGTGATAACTGGAGCTGGGTCCTTCCCCCCATCGGTAGCCCCTCCTGTAGCTCTGAAAAGCCGGGGGAGACTGAGACCCTAATCTGGCGGCTACCCCAACTGCCAGCCACCACCATTTGGTTCCCAGCCTGTGGACAGTGGACAGACAGGAGGGATCTAGCAATGCTAAATGTCATACAAAGAACCAAGGATCAGCTGCTGCTGGGGTGTCTGGGATTCCCATCAAACATCACGGGGCAGAATGGGGCCCATGGGAGCCCCTGGATGGGCTGCCTGATTGTGGAAGAAGGAAGCAAACTCCGAGATGAGGAGGGACATCTCTCCTTCCATCTCTCATCTGAAATCTTGGGGCCAAACGGGCTTGGGGTTGCAGGCTCCTTCAGATTTCACACGCCCAGAGCACCTGATGGGGAAAAACAGTAATAGCTCCACAGCCACACGTCAGGGTAGTTCTAGGAGGTAGGGTGGCAATGACAGGTGGTTCACCTGTGGCCCCCACAGTAGTCAGGAAAACAGCTGCAACCCCAAAAAGTTGGGTATCAGGGGTGCATGTCAAGATCTGGGGCTTGTGCGCCCCACTGTCACAGTCATCCCCTGGATTCGAGTTCTGCAGATGGGGAAGCCAAGCTGAGATTTGTGCGTAAATGTTCGCCTAAGGTCCACAGCCCAATGCCAGTCGATCAGAGAAGGAGGCTAAGGTTGGGCTGTTCCACCAACATTAGTCAGATCTGCCTGGAGCCAGGACCAGGGCGGCGTGGGGCACAGGCTGCCCAGCTGATGCTCGCCCTCTCTCCGCAGTACTTCACCTACAGCGTGCTGCTCAGCCTGCTGGCCTGCTCCGTGTTCCTGCAGGTCAGCTGCATTGGCAAGCTGGTGCTCATGCTGGCCATTGAGCTCATCTACGTGCTCATCGTCGAGGTGCCCGGAGTCACGCTCTTTGACAATGCCGACCTGCTGGTCACCGCCAACGCCATGTAGGTCGCCCTTGCTTCATTCTCACTCTACCCCCAAGCTGGGGTAGGGGCTACCCAGAGAGGCAGGAGGTTCCTGCATGGAGTTTGCCTGCGTCCTCCTAGTCTGGCCCCCTAGGCACAACACAGAATGGCCTTTGTCTGTTCCTGCTGCCCTCCCTGGTGATGGAGTGGCCTTTCCACCTGCAGTTTATCCCTCACTGCTGACTTCAAGCTTCAGGAAGCTAGCTGTTCCTCCCTTGCCCAGGACAGTCCACGAAGGACTGTTTTCAACTAACTCCAGCCATCTGTGGCAGGCCAGACCTGGAGGGGTTATGGTCCAATAGGATGCACTACAGAGTCTGTGGGGAAGGGATACCTTTGCTGTTTCTGGGCTCCATGTCAAGATACACCTGCAAATGCTGTATCCCTTCCCATCCTCGTAGGTAGGGGCAGGTGGTTTGTGTGCTGCTGTGTGGCTCCTGGCCATGCTGGCCAAGTTTAGATACAGCAGCGATAGCATCGGGGCAGTTGTGCAGTTGTGCCCAGGCTGTCTAGCCCCAAAATCAGACTGCTCAGCTAGACACTGGGGGCGGAGGGGGGGCAGATGTCTAAGGGAGGGCTCTGGCTGAAGGTCAAGTTTACTTTGAATCTCTATATCAGACAGGCATTTGGATAGTCTCCCTAAGCTCAATTCCCCCAGTACAATGAAAAGAATCCCCGTTACAGTAAGATCCACATGAAGTGCTCCCCAGAGGCATGAGTGCCTCCGCACAAGTCACCACTGGGTGGGGAAGTGACACCCATGTCCCGTGATGGAGTGCCCGGTCCTGGCCACCTCACTCCCTGTCCAGCTTCCTTCTGAAGTGGAGGCATTGATCCTGGCCCACGCACTGGGGTCTCAGCTGCCCATGTGGGAGTTCCAGACTCTTGGCTTAGCCAAGCCCAGAGATGGCTGCTGCAGGCGTTTGGGGAGTGAATCAGCAGATGGAGGTTTCTCTGTCTCTCTCCACGTGTGCATTTCTATCTCCCTGCCTGTGAAATAAAGTAAAAATAAGTACATTTTAAAAGATCTAAGAAAAAATAATAAAATGCTTGGTACACAGTATCCTTCCCATCACCACCCCAAGCCCCTCCCTCCCAAACACACTAAGGAGCAGGAAGTGAAAACTATTGAGTGATGGAAGGCGGTAACTGGATATCCTTGCATCTGTCCATCTGTTCACCTATACATTCATTCAAAAAAAATTTTTTTAATTGGAAAGTCCGATAGATGGAAAGAGAGGAAGATCCTCCACCTGATGATTCACTCCCTAAGTAGCCAAAATGGCCAGAGGTGAGCTAATCTGAAGCCAGGAGCCCAGATCCTCCTTCAGGTCTCCCAAAGCTTTGGGCCATCCTTAGCTGCTTTCCCAGGCCACAGGCAGGGAGCTGGATGGGAAGCGGGGCTGCCAGGATACAAGCTGGAGCCCATATAAGATTCCAGAGCATGCAAGGCGAGGACTTTGGCTGCTAGGTTACCGCACTAGGCCCTCAAAAATATTTATGAAGAGCCTACAGTGGGCCAGGCATTAAGCAAGGCAAGTGGGCTGCACCTGTGATGAAGACAGGGGAAGGAGGATCACTTGAGAAGATGCAGGTGTGCTAGGGTCTCTATGCAGGCTCGTGGAAGAACTTCTCAGTAGTCATATAGGGCTAGAGACAAATGACGGGATGGCACCAAACCATCGGGAAGAAGCAGAGGGCCTGAGGCCACTGTGTTTATTCCTTTATTTTCATTTTATTAAAATGGTAGAGAGAGTGAACTTGAGAAAGAGAGAGAAGTCCCCCATGCTGAGTCACTCCCCAAATGGCCAGCACCATGTCAGGCTGAAGCTAGCAGGCCAGAATTGCACCTGGGCCTGCCCCATGACAGTGGCATGGATCCAAGCACTTGAGCTGCCTCCCAGATGCATATTTAACAGGGAGCCAGATCAGAAGCAGCGGAGCCAGGACTGGGAACAGGCACTCTGACACAGCACACGGTGTCCCAGGGAGAATCTGACAGCTGCACACCCTAATCCCAGCCTCCATGCCCATGGATCATGGTTGCAGTGGGGAACTCCATGCTCTTGGTCATGCCTGCTTCTTCCCTACCCCCAGCTTCTCCCTGTCTCACTGCTGGTGTTGGCAGCAGAAAGATTCTTTGTAGGATTCTTGTAGGGCTGGGAGACTGCAGCACAGCACTGTACTATAGATAAATAAGCTGTATGTGTGTAATGTCAGGTGTTCAGCAGCTGTATGAAAAAGGTAAAAAGTGCAGTCCATTTGGGAATGTTTTTACCTAACCAGTGTCCTCATTTTCATCTGTAATCACTATAGAGTTGCTAATGAGTGATGTTCTGCTTTCGTATTAGTTATTCCAAACCTGAAGTCTGTTTTACACTATCAGCACATTTGAGCCCGCACTGGCCTTGTGGCAAGGCTCAGGGATGTGGCTCACAGCTGCCACTCGGGACAACACAGAGCGTGCTTTCTCCTTTGTGCCTTGGGCTGTCAGCAGAGGGCTGGGCTGGGAGAAGAGAGCAGGCGCCAGCTCAGGTGGATATACTGGCAGGAGAATGGGATGGAGGGGCAGGGCCCAGTGGAAGGCTGGGCACTCTGTGGTCAGGGTGGACCGGATGCTTGCTGGGCCCTGAGCCATCTCCCCTACTTCTCTCCACAGAGACATCAGCAACAACGGGACCGCCCAATGGTGAGTGGATGCCCCCTGCATGATGGGCAAAAAAGGCAGCAGGTGCCCAGGATAGTAATGGGGAGGTAGGGACGGTGCAGGAGGGGCTGGAGGGAGTGAGGAGACAGGCTGCCACCCTGCCTCCACCCCAGGAAAGCAGGACACCCTCTTTCCTTTTCTGGGTCCCCTCCCTTGCAGGTGCTCTGTGGGTCAGTGGCTGGGACTACCATGGCCTCGTGGTAAAGCTCATGGCCCAGGCGTTCCCCAGGAGCAGGCATTGGCGCCTGCTTCCCCTCCAGGAGTAGGGCCTGCAGGGTGTGCTGTGTTGGCTGGCATCCGCACCTGCTCAGGGTTAGGGTTCTTTGCTGGCAGAATGAACAGGCTTGGAACAGCCACTTTGACTAAGAAAATGTATTCACAAGAACACAGACAGCAATTACTCCCAGTTTGGGAGGCTGCCATTGGCAGGGTACTGCACCAAGCATTCTGCACACAGTCATCACAGCCTTGGAGTGTGGGTCCTGCTGCTCCACTCTACAGAGCAGAAAGCTAGCGGACAGGGAGTTTGGCCCTTGCCCAAGGATGCCCAGAGACAGGGTCCGTGTGGCCAGCCTGGCTCCTGTGTGTCTGTGTACACGGGATCTTGTGCAGTGAGAAAGACCTGGAAAGTACGTGCTGCCCTTCCCAAGGAGCTGAGTCCACCCCTGATGTGACCCAGAGAGGGCTGGGGAGGAAAGGCACCAGCAGAGGGGGAGTGGCTGCTACTGCTGCCACCAGGAGACCTTGCAGTGAGCCGGGGGATGATGTACCTGTACTGCAGGCACAATGTGAGCAGGAGGAGGGACGGTGTAGCGAGTTGGGGAGGGGTCCTCAGAGCCTGTGGAGGTGCCAGTGTGGTCTCCAGCTGTCTCCCTCCCCCCTACTGCAGCCCGGAGCATGCGACCAAAGTGGCACTGAAGGTGGTTACGCCCATTATCATCTCCGTCTTTGTGCTGGCCCTGTACCTGCACGCCCAGCAGGTGGAGTCCACCGCCCGCCTGGACTTCCTCTGGAAACTGCAGGTGTGTGACCCTGGGGTGGAGCTGATTGTGGGAGGCCCCCAGAACAGGGCAGAGAGGGGAGCTCATTGGCTGGGCTGGGCTGGGCCTGCCGTGAGTCATGCCCTGTGTCCTGTCTCAATGGGTCTAGGGCCAAGAGGCAAAGGCACACTGGATGGTATCAGGACTGAAGCCCCAGATCCAAGAAATACCGCTTGAGTACTTGTGTGTGTAACAGGGCAGCAAGGAGACCTAAGGATCAGGGGGAAGGGAAAGTGGGTAGGAGAGGAGGAAGAGTGGCCCCTGTCGGGAGCTAGCCCCAAAGCTACCTCACAAAGGGAAGGCTTGATGATGGCTGGACTTCCTCTGCGAGAGGAAGGATTGGAGGAGTGTCTGAGGCCATCATCTGGGGCAGTGGCAGAGACTGTAGGGTTTCCCAGAAGCCACTGCCCCAGACTGGGCCTGGTGCACAGGTGGGGCTGTCATCCGACCAGCACTGTCACCACGCTGTGTACCTGCGGCCCTGCACGTCATGTGTGTGTAGGGGAGGGACCCCCTGACCTAGGCAGAGGGTGAGGGTGTCCACCTGCTCTGCACATCCAGAGCTCTGCCTCTGCTTCCTTCACCCCAACTTGTGCCACCACCGCCCAACCGCAGCTGCTGGAGTGCCACTTACTTGTGTTGTGCAGGCATGGAGGAGAGTGTGCATGTGCCTTCAGCCCTTCACTCACACCCCATCTCTGCAGCCCACACCGTGGGGTCCCACAGGCTGCAGCACCTCCAGTTCCTAGGCTACTGAAGGGGAACCAGAAGGTGATGCTTGGATCTCCCTGGGACAGGAAGCAGCCACAGCCTCCACTGCAGGAAGGGACAGACCTCCCATCCCCCTGGTCTGATGTCCCAGTCAGATGCCCTGCAGCAGCCCAGCTCTAAAGCCTTGCTCCTCTGCTACTCACTGCCCTTCCAGTGAGTTCTCAGCATCCCCATAGTCAGTACATGGCTGCACCCTCCTCCCTGGACTCCTTACTCCTCAGCTCCCAACTCTCCCCAACAACCCATTTTTAATCTATATGGATAGATATAGATATATATGTATATAGACATATAGATGTAGATGATATAGATAGAGATATAGATATAGGCAGATTTGGCGCAAGCTTTACAGGTGGCAGAGCAGGTGAAGCTGCTGTTTGGGATTTCTACATCCCAGCCTAAGTTCTCACTCAAGTCCCAGCTGCTCTGCTTCCTATCCAGCTTCCTGCTAATGCATCTGGGTGGGAGGCAGATGGCTGCTCAGGTACTTGGGTTCTTGCTTCCTACATGAGAGGCCTGGAGAGAGTTCCTGGCTCCTGGCTTTGGCCTGGCCTAGCACTGGCTGTTGTGGGCTTTGGGGAGTAAATCAGTAGGTAGAAGACGCCCCTCTCCCTTTTCTGCTCCCTTTGATGTAGACAAAAATAAAATAAAAACTACAGAAAAGTTACAAGGATGGTATAGAGAACTCCAGCATCCTTCACCACATTCTCCATTCTGGTGCCTTTGCGTCACTGTGGGTTCTCTCTGGGCATGTCTCAGTATGCATAAACACACATCCATGCATACATGCACACACGCATGTGCACACACACAGGTATACTCACACACGCACACTGGGCCAGTGTCTCTCTCCAGCACCACCATGGGGAAGTCAGCAGTGTGGTCTGCATCGGCCATGACCTTCCCAGCTGCAGTGCAAGGGCCCTCCCTCCATGTGGTTGCCTTGCCAGCCTTATGGTTCCTTGCTGCTCTGTGATCCATGGGCTCATGTCCGGGCTCAGGCCATGACTTCCAGAAGGAGTCCTGGGCAGTGACCCTGTGCCCTCCCCACTGCATCCCCCCACCAGTGGTGTTGACTTTGATATGCTGTCCAGGTTGGCTTCAGCTGCATTCCTCCCTTGTGCAGACCTGTTTCCGCTCTGTGTTTGGGTAGCATTCTATGGGAGATGGTCTGGTGTGACACCCATCTTGGTTCTCTGCACATCCCCAGCCTTTGCACCATAAGGATGTCTGCTAAGCTCCTTACCCCATTTCCACCCTGACCTACCCCTACGCACTGGGGCAGTGTTAGTGTGGTGTGCTGTCTCTCTCTCTCTCTCTCTCTCTCTCTCTCTCTCTCTCTCCCCACACTTGGTGCAGGGGTTGGCACCAAGTTCCGATCTATACCTCCTGTCTTGGTGTGCTGCTGCAGCTCCTTTCTAGCCTTCCCACCGTGCATGCCTGCTAGCATCCTCTCCAACCAGGAGAGACACCTACCCACCACCATCCTTCCTGTGGTGATTTATTTGCCTGGTGGCAGCAGTCTCACCACTCCTGTATCCCCACCCTCTCCTTTTCACACCCCTGCTGTCTCACGTGCTGGCCCCTGTGCCTCTGTGGGAACCCGGGGCTCTATGCAGACTTGGTCCCTTTGCAGTCCCCACAGCCCCATGGCCAGTGGCCCCCAGACTATGAACAGCCAGGAGATCTCACCACTGCTGCCTCTGGGGCAAGGCTTGATCGCTGAGCCTTGGGGTCCCCGGGTCTCAGCTCTGGAGGATTCCTTCCTTGTTGAATCTTGGTCCAGACATAATGACAGAAAGAGAGAGAGAATCTTCCAACTACTTGTTGCCTCTCCAAGTTGCCACAACCATGGGACTTGTCCAGGCCAGTGCCAGAAGCCAGGAACTTCTTCCAGGTCTCCCATGTGGGGATGGTAGGGGGCCCAAGTACTTGAACCATCAACCTGCTGCCTTCCCAGGTGCATTAGTAGGGAACTGGATTGGAAGTGGAGCAACCTGGATGTGAACCAGCTTTCACAGGGTCTACCGGCGTTACAGGCATTGGCTTTACCAACTGTTACAGTATCAGTGCCTGGCCGTGGGTCCCACGGCCTTGGGAAGCTATGTCACTTCCTTTTAGAGAGCCAGGGCCCCAAGCTGCAGTCCTGGCTGGTGGTTGCCGGGTAGAAAGGCCTCATGTGAAGTTGGGAAAGGCCCAAGCAGATGGGTTGCAGGCTTCCAGGAGTCCCACTCAGGGGCCTCCCTGGCCTGCTTCACCAGCATGCCCACTGCCAGTGAGGGGGGGCTGTTCTGTGTGTGCCCTGTGTGTTTCCTGAATACCCTGCACAAATGAGGGTGTACTTAACTGCCTCTTTGTGTCAGCCCCCTGAGGACTGCTGAGGACTTCCTGCCTTGAGGGCTTGGCACTGGCCCTTTAACCTGGAGGAGGAGTGGCCGTCAGCTCCACCTGCACAGGCCCAGGGCCCATAGTAGGAATATCCAAAACCACAGTGATGTCCCCTTCCAGGGGCATGGGCTTTGGGCCTGTCCCAGATTGACCAGTGATAGTCACGTGCTTCTCTGATTGCCTTTCCTGGTGTTGAGAGAGAAATATGAGGTCAGGAGGCTGTCTGGGGTGTGGACCTTGGACCTTGTCCTCCCCTAGGGCCTAGTTCTCTCCTCCAGGCAGCCCTTGCAGCCTTCTCCTCTTGCACCTGTGTGTGCTCAGGGCTTCCCTCCTCCAAGGTCGACCCCATTCTGTGCATCACTTCCCCATGGCCAGGCAGGTAGAGTGACCGGAGGCTTGGAGTAGAGACAGCAGAGAGGAAGGAGAGGTGGACAACTGGATGGACAGATGGGGCAGGTGTTGTATTCCCTGTCCACTCCCACTGACCGTGGCCTCTGTCCCCAGGCCACCGAGGAGAAGGAGGAGATGGAGGAGCTGCAGGCCTATAACCGGCGCCTGCTGCACAACATCTTGCCCAAGGATGTGGCCGCTCACTTCCTGGCCCGCGAGCGGCGCAATGATGAGCTCTACTACCAGTCCTGCGAGTGCGTGGCCGTCATGTTCGCCTCCATCGCCAACTTCTCCGAGTTCTATGTGGAGCTCGAGGCCAACAACGAGGGTGTTGAGTGCCTGCGGCTGCTCAATGAAATCATCGCTGACTTTGACGAGGTGCTCCCGGGGTGGAAGAGGGATCCCCTAGCCCCATCTCCAGGTGTGGCTGTCCCAGGAGCCCTCGCACTTGGGTTACAAATGGGCCAACAGAGGCCCTCCCACCTGCAGGGTCAGTCTTGCTCAAGGCCACTGCCAGTGAGTGGCAGAGCTAAGGTTTCGGCTCAGGCTCTCTGAACTTGGCACCTGCAGACCCTGCCCAACTGGCTTGCCAGTTGCCACCATCTCATACCACTCCCTTCGAGCCATCTAGTGTCTGTGTGTGAGGCCTGGAGAGGGACGAGCAAAGGAGGATCCCAGGCTGGGGTGGGACAGGGGAGGCTGGCCAAGGATCAAAGGTCCCAAATAGTCACCAGACACTGCTTCACCCCAGGGAGTGCCTGGTATGGGGCTGCCATGGGGATGCTGAGCCCAGGAGGGCAGTCAGGGTGAGAGGGGTGTCCTCTGCTTGAGCACAGGCCCCAGGCACAAGGCACCAAGAGAAGGGGTTGGTGTGCCAGCAACTGAGCAGACCCCTGGGGCCGCCATGACCCGAGTCAGAGGGACTGGGGCTGAGAAGCAGGGCCAGAAGGAGGAAAGGATGTCCTGCTAGACCAAGACGGAGATATTGCCCTGGGGTGGGGCGGGCTGGGGATGTGAGCCTGTGAAGGAGGAGCCACCCATGCTGTTGAGGACACAGCACCCAGAGGTGATGAGTATCCTCGAGGGCTCTTAGGGAGGGGGAGGGCCATGAGCCACAGTCACGGTGAGGGGAGCAGTGGGGTTGCAGAAGGCCTGAGGCCCTTGGGGAGCATCAGCTTCAATCTGTTGGTGATGCAATCTAGGGGTCCCCACCACCACCTCCACACCAGCCCCACTGCCATCCTTCCCTGGGAAATTTTGGTGTCTCTCCTGGGGCTGACCGCATGCGCTCTCCTTCTGTGCAGATCATCAGCGAGGACCGCTTCAGGCAGCTGGAGAAGATCAAGACCATCGGCAGCACCTACATGGCCGCCTCGGGCCTCAACGACTCCACCTACGACAAGGTGGGCAAGACCCACATCAAGGCTCTGGCCGACTTTGCCATGAAGCTGATGGACCAGATGAAGTACATCAATGAGCACTCCTTCAACAACTTCCAGATGAAGATTGGTGAGTAGAGGGACCCTGGGACGTGCTCTCCCTTCCCCCCACCATCTGGCTGGCATGTGCTGTGTCCGGGGCCAGTGAGAGAAAGCAAGAAGGCAGCAGGGCCACTCTTGAAGTGTGTTTCTGTGCCCAGTGGGCATGGCAACAGGCATCATTACTCCCAGCAGCATCTGCCCCAGGGACAAACAATGCCCCATCCTCATCTCCGATCCCTCTCTTGCCCATGCCCTGGACGGCCCTGGCTGTTCCTGTCGGAGAAGCCCCAGGAGGATGCTCTGTGTGCTGAGGGGCGAGGTACTCTCAGGGCTGCCCCAGGGACAGATGGCATCTCTGCCCCACCCCTAGGAACCCTGGCTTCACTGCAGTGTTTGAGGGTAAAGTGTCCCAAATCCATTGAGGGGAAAATGAAAGACAACAAGAGCAAATACTTTGCATGTTTTTCAGTAGCCGATGTGCAAACACGTGACATGTTGTTACACTGGCAGGTATAGGAAATACTGAATACAATGCTACACATCCAACTAAGCCAAACGAATCAAGTGCAATCTTTTCAAAAACTATACAGGGAAAGATTCCTGTCCTGTGGGTGCTGACACAGTCGCACTTCACTTGGTCTCGGTTTTCTACAAAGCTGCCCTCCTTTGCCTTCACCTCGCCCCCATCTGGTTTGCCTGGATTTGTGTGTTTTCCTCCAGGCTGTCTCACTTCCTCCCTTGGGCCAGGAAGGGAAGTTGAGTGGTGGACAGCTAAGGAGCTGGCAGGGAGCAGCAGGGAGCCACGGGAGCAGCTGCCCTGGTGGGCGTGGCCAGGGCTCATGTGTGGGTCAGGAGGTGGACAGTCCAGCTGTGTGAGGGAAAGAACTGCATGCAGGATAGGATTGATCCAGGTGGGACTGGTGACACTGCTGGCTACGTGGTCCCCAGTGTTAAGTTTGGAGCGGTGTTGTCAGTCCCTCACACAGGTAAGCAGCAGGGTGAGGGAGGCTGTTTAGATGCTAGGAGGAAATGCCCTAGAACTTGCATGTCTGAGGATCAGCTGAGCCAGACAGCTCAGGGCAGGATCAGCCTAGAGACGCAGATGGAGGACACTGGGGTGGGAGAAGCAGCCGAGTGCAGAGTTCCAGGCCAGTGGCTCGTTGGTGCCTTGGTGGTGACTGGGAAGGTAGATGAAGGTGCTAGAAGAGAGACAGAGCACCCAGGTGGTTGTCAGGCTTGATCACGGCACCATCCACCCTGAGTCAGATGCTCAGTGCAAGATGACTTAGAAAAGACTGGGGCAAAAAGATGTAGGTTAGTAACCAGTGGCTGCTGCAGAACAAGTCAGAGGACTGAGGTAGAGGGAGAAGCAAGTTCTGGTGTGTGGAGCCTGGCTTGACGGTGGGTCCTTCAGTGGCAACCAAGAGAGGGAGAGTCAAGACCCTGAAGAGGACGCTCCAGGCCATGGACTCGCAGGAGCTGAACATGGGCCACATGGATGTGGGCATGAGTTCCTGTGGTCCTGCCTGCCAAGCATTTTCTTGGAGCAGAGGAGCAGGGGGCTGTGTGTGTGTGGGGGGAAGTGATAGGGGGACATGCCCTAATGTCTGGGTCACCCCTGCTGTGCCTTCAGGCCATGAGCCAGGGCAAGCAGAGTGAAGGTTGGCCTTCCCCTGCTGAGTGTGGGTGACTCTGACCCCACAGGTCTCAACATTGGCCCCGTGGTGGCCGGGGTGATAGGGGCTCGCAAGCCTCAGTACGACATCTGGGGCAACACGGTGAATGTGGCCAGCCGTATGGACAGCACTGGTGTGCCTGACCGCATCCAGGTGAGTGCAGGAGTGCCGCTGGCACACCCCCCCTCCTTCTTCCCCTCCAGAGGATGCCAAGCCCCTTCCAGGTTCCACAGCCACAACCAAGGCAGGATGGGTTGGTGAGGAAGCCTTGGCCATTGGGAGACTTAAGTCATGGGTCAGGCACTCAGCACCTTGGACAGAGCTCCGGGCTATGCAGAGCTGCCCTCTACTGGGCACAGGCAAGAGCACCAGAGGAGGAGGCAGGAGTTGAGAGTAGCCAATAGGAGCCTAAGGTAGCGCAGGCACCAAGAGAGGACAGGAGGACACCTGGATCCAGAGGAGGTCGCTGGTTCCTGGAGTGGCACGGCCACCAGCCCGCAACAAGCCTAGGGGTCTGCCAGAAACCTTCATATCTTCTGCAGCCTGGCACTGGGATCCCCTGGCCTGCAACCCTCTAGCTGCTTGCCTTGGCGTGTCTCAGGCCTGCCTTGGCTCTTCCTGCCCCAGTCTGACAAAGAGATTCCCAACAAGGCTCTTGCCCTGCACTGCCCTCACCCCCAGGTTCCTGGAAGACTGGGGAGCCCAGCTTCCCTGGTTTCAGCTTTCCCAGGGGCTAACTGTGCTCTGTTTATCAAAGGTGTTCACCTGATTTATCTGCATTTCCTTTGAAATGCAGGGAGACACACAGGGAGTGAGAGAGCTGGAATAAAGATCATTCATCTGCTGGTTCACTCCCTCTGTATCACAGTGGGCCAGGTCAAAGGCAGGAGCCCAGAACTCAACCCAGCTCTTCCACGTGGGTAGAAGGGACCTGAGTACTTGAGCCAGCACCTGCTACCTCCCCAACTATACATTAGTAGGAAGTTGTATGAGACACAGAGGACTCAAACCTAGGTACTCAACATGGAGTGGCGTCTCATGTGTTAGCCTAACTGTTGAGCCACCCCTGATTGTGGCTTTTAGAGCCTTTCGCCAAGGCTGGCACTGCATGAATGCTCCCCCACTCCCTGCCCCTGCAGGGCCTCTGACCCCGGCTCAGCCCCAGCCAGATCAGCCTACCCTGGCTGGTTGTGAATATATCCAAGGGGTTAGGACCAAAAGGCCTTGTTCTCACTTCCAACCCTATATTGGGAAGACAAGCAACTGGCAAGATGGGAATTGTGTCTTGAAAAGAGATAGGGGAGAAAGGCCATGTGTGCTTGAAGGGCTTCCGATCTGCCCAGGGCCAGGCATGGAGTCCCTCTGGGCAGTCACCCCACCCAGCATCCCGGTTTCACCAGGGCTGTGCCAGGCAGGAACCACAGTCACAACAGCCGGGTCAGCCCCCAGCAGCCCACCCTGTCCATTGCAGAGTGCCAGTAAAGAAGGGCCCAGTGAGTTCTCCCTGCTGTCCCACTGGCAGAGGCAAGGGTAGGCGCAAGATTGGAACCCAAGACTGGCAGTGCTACTTACTAAACCATGACCACAGGCATGTGGCTCAGCTCCCCTGGGCCAGAGGAACAGGAGCTGGCTCACAGGAGCTGACTCACAGAAAGCTGAAATGAAATGAGCAGTGGCTCTCAACACTGTGGTGAGAGCCAGCTTTGAAAAGTCTGGTCGTTGGGGCTAACATTGTGGCACTGCACATAGAGCCACAGCCTGTGTTGCCAGCACCCTGTATGGATGCCAGTAAAAGTCCCAGCTGCTCCACTTCCCATCCAGCTCCCTGCCATGGGCCCCTGCGCCCACGTGGGAGACCTGGAAGAAGCTCCTGGCTTTGGCCTGGCCCAGCCCCAACCACTGCAGCCATTTGGGAGAGTGAATCAACAAATGGATGCTCTCTCTGTCCAAATACAGAGAGGGCAATTTCCCATGTGCTGTTTCACTTCCCAAATGGCCACAAAATGGCCAGGGCTATGGCAGGCCAAAGCCAGGACGCAGGATCTTCTGGGTTCCCCATGTAGGTGGGAGGCAGGGACCCAAGTCCTTGGGCCACCACCTACTATCTCCTGAACACATCAGCAGGAACCTGGATTGCAAGTGGTGGAGCCAGGATTGGAACTGGCCTTGCCTAACAGCAGTGCTGGTTCCTGCTGCGGGCGTCTCCCAGGAGCCACTGCAGGGCCCCCACAGCAGGCCAGGGCTGAGTCCTCAGTGGCTTCTCCTGTCTCCTCTTTGCCTCTTCAGGTCACCACGGACATGTACCAAGTGCTGGCCGCCAATACATACCAGCTGGAGTGCCGGGGTGTGGTCAAGGTCAAGGGCAAAGGCGAGATGATGACGTACTTCCTGAATGGAGGGCCCCCGCTCAGTTAGCAGCGGCCAGCAAGGGCATCCAGCAGCCTGAGCTGCAGCCCCCTGCCCCCAAATGGGGGTCCTGCACGTGAAATTCTCCCACTTTGACTCCAGGGGCAGCTTCTGCCTTCACGGATGGGTGCGGCCCCCATCCCAGGCCCCGGGGTGCCAGCGTCCTGTGAGCACCGAGCTGACCAAAGATGTTGCCCTCTGGAGCGGATGCCACTCACTGGACTGACCTAGAGTCCCTCGGCAGGTGCTGTGTGCCTGTGTGGCGAAGGCGTGGAGGGAGCGGGCGTGGAGGCCGCATTCCCGGGACTGAACAGCCTGGCGGCTGCTCAGCAGCAGGTTTCCTGGAGGCTTGGAGGGGCGGGACGCCTCGATTTGCGTCCAGCAGGGGTCACAGGGACCCCAGGGGTTTTGCTTTTTCTTGTGAGCCTTTATGCTTCAGGCAGAGTCCGCAGCCCCTTGCCCAGCGGAGGGGCTGGTGGGCAGGAGCGCGCTGTCCTCCGCAGGTGCACCGACCGGCGTCCAAAGGAAGCAGGACTGGATCCGCAGGACACAGGATAACGCCAAGCCAGGAGTGGTGTTCCGAGAGAAAGAAAATATTTATTAAATAAAGCGAGTTTTCCGTGCACTTCTTTAGACCCTGCTAGTTGTTACGCGTGTTAAGAGACACAAGCGAACCAAGATGTCACGGGGAGGGAGGGTGGGGGACCCCCAACTTGTCTCTTTTTGTATTTTTTATTTTGTATCATGGAGAACCTTGGAGATCTAACAGATATGCCAAATTCTATATTTTGTAAATTCTCTATCCTCGGAAGCAGCCATGCGCAGCGGGCGTCCGTGCTCATCGGTACTGTGTGCGTGTGTCCGTGTGTGTGCTGGTGCGTGTGTGCGTGTGGTCGCCCTGTGGAACCGTTCTCCTCCGCTTCAGATTTGGCAGTTGTGGGTTTTCCCCAGGTTTAGAGCCAGAGCAGGACACCTGTGTTCAGATCACGTCGGAAGGTGCGTGAATGCATCACCCCATCTTTTACACACACCCACACACACCCAGCCCACACCCACAACAGGCAAAGGCCAGGGGAGCCACAAAAAGCCGCTTTCCCATCTCAGGCTCCACCTGTGGCAGGCAGGTGTCAGGGCCACATGACTATATGTGGGGACAGGCCCTCCCTTGGGCACAGGAAGGATACCTGGATGGTAGAGGGCCGTGGCCTTACCCTCTTCCACCTGCAAATCAGATGGAGGAACTTGAATTTTCCAGCCCCGGAGTCTCCTGGGGAAAAGCTGGCAGCAGAAGGGGGATGCGGGTAGGGTGGGGCAGTTACATATATGGGAGAGAAAGCCTATTCTTCTAGCCCCTGAGGGAGGCACTGGGAAAATGACAGCCACCACACAGCTCTATTCAGGCAGGATCACTTGGGCGCATGCCCAGGTCTTTCGGTTGCTTCTCAGGGCAGAACAATCCTGGCCTCCAACAAGAGCTTGGAGGGGGCGAGGCAGCTGCAGTGCCAGCCGCAGGAGCACTCTCTGCGAGCCCACACACACACACACAATCTGAACACAGGTTGGAGAAGCCAAGCCTCAGACGACCTACAGCTGCCAAGCCTGAGTTGGTCCCACGCCCGCGTGTTCCCCATGCGTTCTGCTCAGTCCCCCAGGCTTCGGGGGCCGCTTTCAACCCCGACGCCAAAGCCCTGCTCCACACCGTGTCCCCCGGTGGTGGTGGGCATGGGAGGTGTGCGTTCCGCTTTCCCTGCTGCGTCCAGTGTGCGTGCCCAGTACCCCTCACTGTGTTGCCCACCCAGGCAGTGACTGGTGACCGTGTGCAGTGTTGGCTCTTCGTGCCCTCTTAAGGGTTGTGCACTCTTTTTATTCCTGCTCTTGCAAAAACGGATACGATTATGATTTCCCATGGAAATTGAAAAGTCTATTTAAATAATTTAACTATTAAAACACTTTCACTGGTAATGAACATGTCCTGAGCTTAATTTGTGGCTGCAGCCGGAATGGGATCAGGGAAGGGGCAGGCCTGGTGGGGAGAACGGATGGGGGTTCGGCAGCCCACTGGGGAGGGGCAGGGCCAACACTCTGCCTAGAGCCTATGTGGGCTGAGTACTGTGATTATGGCACCTGGTGGGAAGAGCAGGCCAGCTCAGCAAAAGCTGGACCAAGGAGGGCAGCGACAAGAGCCAGGGAAGGCTCAGGGAGAAGGGCAAGTGGACCACACGGGATGCTGTGCCATGAGTAAGGAAGGTGCGAACACGAGTGGACTATGGATGACTGAGAACTCCATGTGGCAGCTCACTGAAGACTGGCTTCCCTATTTCACTGATAAACTGAGGCACAAAAAAGTTGTCAGAGACCATGCAGCTGGAAAGTAAACTCCTGGGTTTGAGGGTGGTCCTGTCTGCTCATGCAAGTGGTTCCACCCAGGCTCTGGGATTCCTCTCCATGTGGGGAGGAAAGGGAAGGTTGGCAAGGAAAGCAGGAACCGTTCTTAGCGGTCCCTCCCACAAACGCACTGCTCCAATCAGGCTCAGAAACCCCAAACCTGAGGGACTTCCTCAGGTTGTCTAACACAGGGGCTCCCCTGGGGGTCATTGCAGCAATGGCCACCAGGGGGCAGCAGTCAAGGCCGGGCAGGTCCCTTGCCGAAGATGGACAGGTGCAGGCTGGAAGTTGGCATTTTACAGAGGCAGGAGTCTAACTCTGTGATGTGTTCAGGCTGGGTGCATCAAGTAGGAGAGGAGACATGGAAGGTCAGCCTCCAGGGGCAAACTAGCTCTGTGGGCAGGGGAGGTGAGACATGCAAGCTGGCCCCTGCAGCTGCACTTGGGGCGCATGTGCCGATCACCGAAGGATCGCTGCTCCCCATCCCACTCCCTCCCACCGAGCTCCCTGTGGAGAGCGCTCCTTCTTCCAGACGCATTTCCACAGCTGAAGTGCTCATCAGCAAACTTCCGTGGAGCATCCGCAGCTGGTGTGGGACCATCATGGGAATCCATACTGGCAGAGCCACAAGCAGGCTGTGGCCAGCCATGACAGACTGTGGTATGATGCTCGCAACCCATTAGTAGAAGGTAAAGTAAATTCTGGTACCCTGGGGAGGCAGGAGCCATACCTGCTCCAGCGACCTGTATCACTGTAAGCTTTCCTAGGCCCAGAGCCTTCCAACAGCAAATGTCACCCGAACGGGGTCTGCTTCAGCGATGCCCAGACAATAGAACATTTACGGTTGAGGCCAAAAGGGGTTCATCCGCAAAAGACACTTGCAGGGACGGGAAAACCTTCCCAGCTGAGCCGACTGTCCCTGGCTGCAAACGACTCAATCACAACGCAATGGCAGCCACGTGTGTGCTCTGCAAACCTGCAGTTTCGGGGTGTGTCTATGTCAGGGAGCACTCTGAAGAGAAGCAAAGCTGTGCGCAGCTTATCTTCGGAAGCAAGGGACCTGGCAAGGCTGGGTCCTGCTGGCCGAGGCCGACCCACCTCCTAGCACAAGTGTTAGAGGCCTGCTGACACCAATGCGTGCAGCACTGTCTGCTGACCGGCCTCTCTGGATGAGCCTTACACATGCATATCCTCCCTCGGGCCTCCCCCGGGCCTGGGCCAGGCCAGGAGAGATGTGTGCATGCCCGGGGCAGCTCGGATACTGCACAGGCTCCTGCCAGGCTGGGAGGTGTCGGGCGTGGCGGGAACAGGGCCTTGCCACTCTTGCAGGGTGACAGTCACTGTCATAACACCCAGATGCCTAAGGATGCCTCTCTTAGCCTCCCGGGTTTTCAGCAAGGCAGAGGTGGCTCGGTTGTCTTCCCTGAGCTCCCTCTGCACCTGCAGGCTCACAGCTTCAACAGCCACAGGGACAGACCAGCTGGGGGCGCTAGCGTGGCTGATCATCAGCCCAAGGCCTCTAGTGTCCTCTGGATTTGTGCTAAGTCTATCCAGTTCTCTATTGCCAGAACACATGGATGGTGCATATGTGAACACCACATAACTAAAGCTTGGAGATTTCAGAACTGAGTGCACAGGGACAGTGGGGTGAAAGCAGATGTGTAGGTGGGTCACCTCCAGTCCACAGGTGGAGATGGTCTGGCCTGCAATGGGTCCTCCCCTCAGCAAACCAGCAGCTAGGCTCGAAGCCTTAGCTACCTGGACCTGGGCTGAATTGTTCCGCAGGTGGGAAGCAGTGTGGGTTCAGAGAGAAAGAGAAGTCTAGAAAGATGTCATGGGGGAGGGCAGCACAGGGGTTCAAAAGGCTAAGCTTCCACCTTGCAGAGCCAGAATCCCATATGGGTGCCAGCTTGTATTCTGGTTGCTTCACCTCCCATCCAGCTCCCTGTTTGTGGCCTGGAAAAGTAGTGGAGGACTGCCCAAAGCCTTGGGACCCTGCACCCACATGGGAGACCTGGAAGAAGCTCCTGGGTCTTTGTTTTAGATGTGCTCAGCTCTGGCCATTATAATCATTTGGGGAGTGAACCAGCGGATGGAAATCTTTGTCTCTCTTCTCTGTAAATGTGCCTTTCCAATAAAAACAAATATTTTAAAAAAGGACAAGGGTGAGGAAGAAAGTAATAGAGAAGGGTGGACCCCGTCTGCGGCTGAGCGTCAAGGGTACAGCCTGTTGTCCCCACCGGTGGCCGCAGCAGGGTCACCTGGCACATGGCAAGAGTGCCTTCCCTCCTGCAGGTTGAATGAAGCCCCATGGATTTACAGAATTCCCACGGGACCCCACTGGGGGACTGCGTTGTCGCGTTTCCTCCCTTGGCTAATTTCTAATTTAGACATGGCAGGAATCTGGCCTTGTCAGCAATCTGGTTAGCCTTGCACTGAAGTTTTCCAGTTTTGCAAAAATCCACCTGCTTGTGGAGGCAGTGAGCTACGGCAGCGCTTCCTCCTGATCCCCATGGGAGTTTTTTTTTGGGGGGGGGGAGATGTAGGAGGCATTTGGCTGCAGATGAACTTTTTTTAAGATCACAATCCATTTCTGTTGTGAAAGGACATTTTTGGGCTCTCCCATCCTCAGC